TCTCAAGTTGTATTTTTAAATAACATAAGTTTAACATTAAATGTGGACCCCTGTATTAAAAAGTGGATTTCAATATTTACCTACATCATTCTATTTCCAGAAGATAACTGGTCCAGGGATTAGTTGTACCTGTATTAGGTGGTGCTGGTACAGTATACAGTAGTGCTGTCGGCATTTGGATTTTAATTAATGCTCTACGGCCTGTGTTAGCTTGTTCCAGATATTTTAATGCTTGAAAGATCACAGCATTCATCATTGATCTGTATAAAAATTAAAGTACTGTACATTATATAGTATCATGTGTATGAAGGTACTTCAAATATTGCATTAATATATGTAAACAAGAAATGGTAAACAGATAGAAGGTTTTGTCTGGAAAATTTAGCATTTTGTTATTTGAGCATGAGAGAAAGGTGTTAAAAGTTATGTATATAAAGTATAATATTTGGATCGGGATTTTCAAAACATACCTCAAATCTCCATTATTATTTGTTATCAGCACGCTGCTCAAGCCACACTTGTAGGTTTCTTTATATTTTTAATTCAAAATTTTAATATTTTGTATCTACTGAAGACTGCAGCAATGTTCATGAGTCGTATGTTTCAGATGAATTTGTGGTGCTCTCTTCCCCATTCTGCTCATGTTGTTAACCTCTGATCTTTCCTGCAACAGAACCTGGGGCCTCCTATTTCTGATCATTTATCTTACCTTGATAAAACTTGAAAACATATAAGCCATTGTTTTTTAAATTTCTTTATATATATTCCCCGCCCCCCCCCCCCCAACTTGGCAGTGTTTTTGTTGCTTTCTGCCCCGCCCCTTTTATGTTATGATACTTTTCGTAAGTGTGATGTGAGCTTCCTTTTCAGCACAGTTTCTCTAATCACAGTCAATGGTGAAATAGCTACTTGTAGTTCTTTTTCTATAACCTATTGAGAGTACTTTCATGATATCAACAGCAGAAAATCCCATTTCTCACATGCATGATCTCACAAAACGAAGAAGAATTTTAATGGCCATGTCATCCACTTCTTGACGTGAATCCAAAACTCAGAGAAGATTTTCTGGATCAAATATCTATTGTAACAATCACTTATTCTATAAGTACAGTACTTGTTCAAAAGTTGTCAATACAAAGTCAGTGTTAACAGCAAAAGGATTTCTTATTAATTCATTTTGAGACATATGCCTCCTTATAATTAATGAACACCGATTCTGTAAAGTGATCCATTTTGTCAATAAATTCGGTGTTGGCTTCAATTTTACTGCCAAGAAGTCATTCTCATTTAGGGAACATGTCAAAAACTTACATTTCTTGTGCATAATTGTAGGTTTGTTGTAAAAATGCTCATTTAGTTGTGGGTCAGAATATTTAGGCTTGGGGACCTTGCAATGGTTTCATCTTTTGTGGCTTTATGTTATATTATGTTGCATATGAAGAGAAATTTATTGTTAAAATTTTTAAAAGATTTATATAGTGTAGGAATTATATTTGGTTAAAAATAAACAGATTCTATTTAAATAACATGACGAGAATTGCACCTCATAATAAAAAGTAGATTGATTAGATAACACTGGAGATAAAAATGATGTGATGGGAAATAGTATTTGTTAAAAATTTTGAATTCTGATGAGGCAGTACAGTACTGTACACCGAAAATAATTGTAGAATTCTGTTTAGATGTAGAAGTTGGTGGTTTTAGTATATTAAGTTGACCATGGTACAAGCAAGCAGTGTATGAAGCAGTCCCTTGTCCACTTCCAGTTGGCCAGTGTTGATAATTATGGCATGTTGTAACCCTCTCTTTACGTGTGTGAAGCTGATGGACCTCGGGTGTTTTGTTGTCGCCAGTTGCATAGAGATACAAGATCGATATATATGTTGGGTGAACATTAGGTATGTAGTGAGTGGATAAGTTTTAGTGTATGGTGACATTTCAATGTGGTCAGAGGGGATTCTGGGTGAGTTATTGTGGTCATATTGGTTTAGGGGGATTGTGACAACATGTAGTGTGCAGTTGATGTACCTGTAACACCATTTTTCATGAGGGATGTAGCTTCTTGGGTTGTGTTCTCAGTTTGGTTTTAGTCTTAGATGATTGAGGTTGATTAGTTTTTAATTTATTTGTGGGTGTAGGTAGGATATTGTTGGATGATATTGTGTAGCATGCTGTGGTTTATAGTTTGTATTTTAAACATATAGTAGCAGGGCTGAGGGGTGATGAACCAAGTGTGTTTGATGCCGAGGTGGTCATGTATGGGGAGAATTGTTAATTCAGAATGTAGGCAGTTGGTGTATGTAGTATTAGTGGAACTTGTAGAGCTCTCTTTTGGGTGTTCAAGGCAGAAGTTGGTGGGGTGGGTCTAGCATAGGTACAGGTGAATTAATTGAATGCTTTTTAAGGTGTTGGTTATTAGTGTATCATACAGGTGAAATTGAGACTTACATTATGAGGAAAATACTGTCAGGCAGTTTTGAGTGAGTCATTGTTCTAGCTTGTGTAGGTCTTTAAATGTAAGCTCTTACTAGATCATATGTGGTTTTGAGTTGGGTGGTGGAGAAGTACAGTAGATTGAAGAGGATGGTAGAATACAGATCTCGGGGGATCCCATTTTGGGGGGTTCTGGAGCTTGACGAGTAAAATACATTTCTGACCAGTGAGAACACACTTTACTCTTGTTATATTTATCTCGATTGCTACATGGACAAATGCAAAAGAGGGGGTTGCTAGTTGAAACCATCTAAGATGAATTGTGTTGCAGTAGAGACCATGTAATTTGTAAATAATGAACATTATTGACTGGGTGCTGTTTATTGTATTTTAGAATATGTTGTTATTGTGAAAGTAACAAATAGCCAGTTGGTGAAGAGTTGGTAGTAACATTTGCAATTATAACATGTATAGTGTAGGATTTATAGGAGGAAAAAACTTGTAGAGAGATGATCAGTATACTGTTAATTGGCAGGATGAAAGTGCTGTGGCAGTAACAGGACTTAATAGCCAGGTCTTTAAAAAAAATTATTGGTGTTTTTTGGCAACTTAGGGTTTGAGAATTCATTCAGTGACCCTTAAACTGATTAATATAAAGCAATGACCTCCTCTGCTCTGTGCCCTTCCCTGCAAAGTAGCTTTTTAATATTTTGAAATATACCTAACATTATTGTGAATAAAGAACAGGAGTATTGGTCCAGGAAGACCCCCTCCCCAACCTAAGCCAACTATTCCAATTGAGCATGTGATGGTTTTAAAAATGGGGCCTAGGGATCATCCATATGACTCTCCTCTATTAAAGTACCACACACACACAACACACACACACACACACACTGATGCAGCAATAAAACTATTAAATGGGTAAAATAAAAAACTTATTGTGTGATATTGATCAAAATGTGCACTAGATATGTAATACATAACAGTAAAACCATCATACCGTGGAGGCATCAACTTAAGTACAAATGCAGCTTTGAGAATGTGAGAAATATTAAGCATGTGAATTATATAACTGACTCAAGTTTAGTAACATTAAAGTTTTAGGTTATGAATTACCTGGCCATGGTTACCTGATAGGTTTTCACTATTAAGAATTAAGTTGTAGATCCAGCACTCTGCTGGCCTAAGAATTGCTGGTTTGCAGCTGTCACCATAGTTCACCCAGCTGTGAATGAGTACCTAACTTTACTGTTAGGGAAATGAAAGCGGTCAAGCACAAATTCGACAACACACCCTCTTGTGTATCAAAGGCTTAGTATTTGGTGTTCAGCTAAGCCCCTAATTGGACTGTCAGGCCTGTGGAACACTTGTGCTAGTATAACCTGGCCATGGTCTTGTTAGATTTCACGCACGGCTGTAAATGCTTAATTTTAAGAACTCAACATAGAAGCTGAACCAGGATCCTACTTCCAATTCAAGAAATTACATTCATAATATTCAGGTAAGTTTTCTGCTATTAACTTGTTGGTAACTCATGGGTAGACATCCTAGCTGATCCTATTGCTTGCCAAGGTGCATGGCTGCCTGGCTGCTTGCATGTGCTTTACTGCTTCTGTCCGACTAAATGTTTCAAGAAGGACCTAACGTGCCGTGTACTTGTCATGTCCTTGTCTTGCGGGCTTGTGCTTTGTCCATTCCCCAATTTTTCAGCCCTTTCAGCAACAGATAGGGAAAGCAAGGGTTAAGTTATTTGTTAAAATAAAATAAAAATTAGATTATTATGTTGCATCCTGTTTAGAAGGTCAGTTAAAACAACCTTTTGGGGGTCTTCATTACTTCACTCATTACTCTTGCCTCTTTAAAAGATATTATCATTTACTTAAAGGGGTGTGCACCTTCCACAAGAGTGATGGATGTGGCAAAATGGTTTTGTCATTCCTTGACAAGCCTGCATTGGTGGTTCACTGGGACACAGTGAGTGTGATGGCAAATATACTCCATTACTCAGTTGATGGGTAGTGTACTGTGGTGCACTACTCAGTCTTTGGGATTATAATGTGCTTTGTCTTGTTTTGTTGCCATAGGGACGTGGTATTGCAGCAAAAGACTTATCCAAGGTGCTAATTTACCTGGGGCATCGTCGATAATGGACAGAGCACTTCATAATTCAAAAGTGATCTACATTGATTGGTGGAGTAGGTAGCTTTGTTTATTTGAATAAAATCATATCTTGGGAGAGTGGAATCGCACCATATTGAAGACTACCCAAGGCTCACAACCATTGGTCGGTCACAGAAGCATCCTTACCCCCAATAGGTAGTTTTGAAGGATTAGTAATTATTCGAATGCTCAGAATGTTCACCCGTGGTCTGAAAGGGTTGGAGAAAGGGACTTAAACGTTCATATATGCGTTCATGAATACAAAGATATTTCTATTAACTACTTGAGAGAGAAAGTTCTCGCCCTCCCCCATAGTTGGGGTTTGGTGCCAGAGAGAAAGAAAGAGATGCAAGGCCCATACAAGAGGCAGTGTATTCTAGTCCCTTTCTTCTTCCCTGTTGCAGATCGATAGAACGCGCGATGGGTGAAAAAAAGGACCAAATCAGGCGGCTTGATGAAGAGATAAATCGAGATGGGGAACGGAACAAAGAATTAGAGAAACGATTACAGGTTGGTATTTTCCTGTAGTAATGCAAGGGAAGAGATGCCGAGGCAACATTTTGCCATTGGTGTCTTGTGCATGCTTCCAGCATCTTTGGGTTGATGGCCCAGGCTTTGGTGTATATATAGACTAGGTTCATTAATTGCACTGAAGTCACACGATGAGATGTTTAACATTGAAATGAAGGCAAACTATTATTTGTAGGGAGTCAGAATGCTTATTAATTCTTGTACAGTACTTGTGGACTATAAAATGTGGGCCAACTATGATACTATAAATTGTGGTTTCTGTTTGACAAATGATAGTGAGCCTTAATCCAATGTCAGTCACTGGATGAACCAGGTAGGTGGTTGATGCATTGTACTGGTTTGCATTACAAAAAGGTGAGTACATTCAGTTTTTATATTTTCAGTTTGTCGTTAGTATTGGGCAATGAAAAACACACATTTTGAGATCTGGTGTACATCAAATTCACTGCTTGAAAACCCCCCAGTTTCTGCTCTTCTTTTACCCTTTGCTGAATTTTGTTATGTCTGGCTGTAGAAGATTAGTTCTTATGATGAGTGACGTTTTGCTTGAATAATGTACAATTATTGCTTTCATCTTTTTCAGCTTTCTATATTTGAATGTTTTAAAGGGAAATAATGTATTGATTGTTATACATGTCCTCTTGCTCTGGGCTAGAGGAAATATTGCATGTTTGCCTCTGGATTTACTTTTAGGATATGGGTAATGCATGGAGGAATCAACTAATGTGTTATGTTAACAAGGCCTTGTTAAACTAGCAGCAAGTCTGGACGTCATCATAAACCCACACCTTGGTTGTGAGCTGCCCTTCCCTACCTCCTGTTTGATTGTCTTGTTCCAATCTGTGAAATTATTATTCAGATGTTCACTGCACACCATTAAACATAACACACCACACTCACCATTACCATTGTCATGCCTCATCACTACTCACATTAATAGGGAAAAATCATCTTTCTGTTGCATCATCATTAACATTGAGGTGTTTGTCCCCTCATTACCCATCCCCTCTCCCCTCCCTGTTCCGTCCTCTGTCCTTCTGCTCAGGTCTCTCACCAAGGCCGTCAAGTCGAAGCAGGATCAAATTCAGCGGCTGGAAGATGAAATAGTACGCGATTCTGAACGCAGAACACATCTCGATAAGAAAGTTGAGGTAGGAATTGCATGGTGCAGATAATAGAAACTGACAGTTGAGGAAGAAGCAAACATACTGAGAAGTGTGTGAGAAAATATAAATTGAATTAGTGTAGAAGGATATAACTCGGGTTATTGTGGAGTTCAACTGTAATTGTTGTACATTTAAAAGTACAGTAATACATTAACTCCTCTTGTAGAGAGGAAAACTGTTACCACTGACATGTTCTTTTTCTCTATATTTAATGTATTAGTATAAATGTGAGTTAAAAGATTTTCTCCTATTCGTGCTTACTAATAAGCTATTGCTTAGAACAGTGCTTACAAGTCCTGAAGAGGGGGGAACTTATTCAGTCAAGTAAAATTAGCATTTAAATTTAATCTATACTATAAAATAATATCTTCTTGATTCAGTGAGAGGTACATACAGTTTTAATGTCCAAGTATGTATAGTACAGTATAGGCTTTATGAATGTTGAAGTCGTTTTACAATATCATGATAACACATTAACTGAGCACTGTATGATACAGGTAAAAAAAAGGGCACTATAATGTGACTAGAATTTTCGTTATTTATAACTTGTATGAGAAGTTGAGCTTTTTTTTTTTTTTTTTTTAATTATTATTATTATTGTTGAGTGAATGAACATAAGAGCATAGTTTTAACTGGTTTTGGGGAAGACACATGATGTTGGCGTGTGTGCAGTGACAAAGAGTAAGCCGTATACTGTAGATACTTAGGGCCTTGTTGTGGTAGGCACTATAGCAGAATGGGGCTTCAAAGAGCAATAAAACCCTCTCAGATAGGCTAAGATTGTATGGGTATGACATGGGGAGATCATGTGAGAAATGGCCTTAAGAGATAACAGCCTGACAAAAATGGCTACGAGAGTTGGTGTATCTTGGAGGGCTGCCGTGAAGTAATCACAGCTTAACCATACAAGCATGAAAACTGGCTATGAAACATAATGATGATAAAAGTTATAAAAGATTTTAAGAGTTTATGGGGTATTGCTATTATAATATTGATTTTTAATCTGATACCAATTGGCAAAGATCTGAATTAATGGGGTTTTATCGTAGTGAAAATTCTGACATTTTTTATTGATATTGTTTGGGTATGACCCCTCTAAAATTATACTAATAGAAACAATGTCTTATTTCCTAGAATACTCATTTACACAGAATAGCTCTTTTCCAGAGGTATTTTGTAAATTATTTATATAACAAAAAATGAAGGGTAGGTAGTTTGTGTTGTGAAACATGAAGGTAGAAACAATGGTGTAGACCACAAAGAGGGGGAAGGCTTAGAGCAGAGGTTGCAAGCATTATAAAGTGTTCAGGGTGTACTGTTTTGTAAAACATGAAGTTGGATTATTAGTGGGGTCTGGTATTGAGGGGTGTGTATAAATTTAAGATAAAAGAGGACTAGTGAGAAACAGTGAAAGAACTCTGTGTATGGAGAATTGACTTGAAGTTGTGGGGGGAAAGGTAGAGATAGAAGGGCTTTTGTAAAGAGGGTTGTAGGTGAAGGCAGTGCAGTTGAAGAGAAAAAAAAATGTAGTACCAGTCTATGAAGTTGAGAGGTTACTTAACTTAGCTTCAGAATAATGCTGGGATAGGTCCAGGTATTGCATTTGTAGGGTTTTATTTATATCTATAATTAGAGGAATGAATTAATACACTAAAAGGAAGTAAAAGCAATGAATGTATTACACCTGTAAATGATGAATTGATTGGACTTAGACTAAGATAGAGTAGGGTCTGGGAAATTATTATTTATATTTATCAACAATTGTATGTGTGTGAGTGACCTTAGGTTAAATACTGAAGCCTTGCAAATAGCCAAAAAGCTAAGTTGACTGACTTGGAAGGAAGTCAAAGCTTGAGTGAAACAAATGAGAAGTAAATGTAGAACTTAGGTGTAGTTATGATGTAGATATATATATATATTATATATATATATATATATTATACAGTATATATATATATATATATATATATATATATATATATATATATATATATATATATATATATATATATATATATATATATATATATATATATATATATATATATATATATATATATATGGAACCTTGATAAGGGCATATGAAGGTTAACTTAGGTTAAGAGTGTATTTCGGGTTCCAGCTGGCCTGTAAGTGTGAACTGAGGATGCACAGTATATGTTACTCTTATGAAAAAAAAATAGCTGGATAAAAGAAATAAAAGTTGAATTGGTGGGATGTTAATGTATCAAGATTATGTTATTAATATAATATTATGTATTACAGGAGCTCTCCACAGACACAGAAAACTACAGACAGAGTATTGATGAGCACAACAAAGTCTTTTATGAAATGAAGAAGCGAAAAGACCAATTACAGAGTGAACGGAAGTAAGACGTCTTGTGGTGGCATGTTGTGCACTTGCTTGTGGCTGCTTTCTGGAGGCTTGCTGCTCTTCCCTGTAACAAAATGCCCTTACAGATCATTGTCTTGATCGATTCATTACTGTTTATCGCAATAATTGTGGTTTCTCGTTCACCCATTGCAGTACTGTATGAGGATTCCCATGTACAGTATTTAGGATTTTTCTATTTGCCCTACATATTTGCCTGCTTGGTTGATGCTCAGTGCTTTTATTTGTTTATTCGTTTTTTGTGTTTGGTATATAAGATGCACATAATACCATTTGACTTGTTACCTTTATATGCTATGTTTCAAGATAATAGTTTTTCCCATCATTTGATAATAACCAGTTTTTACTTCCCACACACTGGTTATGATCACGGTGTGCTAGTTAGGTCTTGCTTGTAGAGGACTAATTCATCGTGATTAAGTCTTATTATATTGTACACCCCAGGACTAAAGTCATGGACAGCTGCATGGAACCTATACTGGTGACCTCTAGCTATAAGGACAATTTTTAATACTGCAATATGTACTTAACTGCATTTGATTTTTAAAGCATTCATTTCTTTTAGTTTTAAACTTGTTAAACTTCGTATTTTATTTATATGCACATCATAGTTTTAATTTGAGTTTTCTCATTGCCGGGGGTCACTAGTGCAGCTGTCCATGGCTAGCCCTAGAGTGTACCTGGCCATTGATGCTTTACTCATTACCTTAAGTTGAATGTTTCTTCGCAAGTGTATGTATAAACAACTTTTTGGTGACATCCTTTTTCCCAAATGCCCGTATTTAATGTGGATTTTTGTCTCCTGTACAGCATGAATAACCTACTTGTTTTACTTAATTACAGTATCTTTATACCCCAAACACCTTACCTCCTCATAGGAAATGCTCAATGAGAAAGACTGCATCTGGACATTGATTCAATCTAGTGGAGACTATCTTTGCCAGTCAGAGGCCAAAAAGCGTGTTCTTGCTTATGATGGAAGGTTTACTTTTTTACTACAACTGTTTTTGATAAAATTGATTAGATAGTTTGTAATGTAAATCACTTGTGAATAATTGTTATGTTTTGTCCTTTTGTGAGCCCGCAAGTTTTTTGTGTTGTTTGTACTGATAAAACACTTCCCTCACTCCCATCTTGTTTGTTGTACAATGGCTGTGTATAACATAATAACTGTAGGCAGTTGACTAGTGTTGCTTTTGTGTTTGTTCTTGTTGTGTTTGTCAGAGCTGTGTTTGTACTGATTCCTTAATTCGGTAGAAGAATATTCACCTTACTCTTTTAGCTTTCTGTGTTTGATGCCCAGATGTTATGGAGGACTGAGATCCCTCTTTGTAGTCAATGATGACAACCCTGATGTGGTTTGACATCCTTCTGAATTTTAAGAATTAGGATTAGCATCTGTTGGTCCACCCTGCATCATAGTAGAAAAGGGCTTAGTGTATGAGCCATTTAATGTGTGTGTTTTCTGTAGTTTTCGAAATTTTTAGTGTATAACACATTTCCTACATGAGGCGTTGCTAGGAAGAACAGCGAAATTATCAATTTTCTGAAAATCCGTTTTCCATGGTCCCATGTAGCCACATCAAAACTCTACCATGTGGGACTCAAAAGCACAGGAATTTTGCTTGCTTTCTGGTGGGGTGTTTCGTGGCGAGTCTCATAGTACTGTACGTCAACTTTAATCTCGTGCAGAGACAAAGGCGAGAGCGTGAACCAATGAAAGTGCAGCTAGCTCCACACGTGGCCTTTCGGCCAATTGGTGACACTGTTTTTGGTGAGGTTTACGTCTGAATTTACCCCTTTTTACGCTATAATTAGTGCACACCATGAATTACAAACAACATGGATTAATATTTGTTATACTACTTAATGTGCTTTATCATCATTATCATTTGTATTTACCTGGTATCTCATAAAATAATTTATTATTTATTAGTACAGGTATATATTACCATTAGCAATTAGGCATATTATGGAATTTATATATTTTTCTCATACATGTTCGTAAAGTATTACCCAAAATTACAAAATAAGACAAATGATGAAAATTGATAAAATATTTTTGTCTTATGGACGAAGAAATGAAAAAAAAATTCAAGCGCGGTTTTCTCGTACCCTTTGTTTCGCATTTTCGCCCTTTTTCTTGGCAATGCCTCATATTGCATGTTACCGTTAAGAATTTTTTTGCTTTAATTTTGCTTAAAATATGATATAAAGGAAACAATTTGACCTAAATGAGCAGTATTTTATATATTCAGTTTGCGCTCTGTTTTCCTGGAAATTAATGTCTGCAATTGAGTGTTGAAAGCATAGTAGGTTATGATAGTTAAATGCTTTTACATGTAATTTGAGATTAATTTAGTTAACGTAAAATATTTTTATTGGTGTCCTGAAAGTTTTGTATGTTGGACTAACCCTGTGATTTATTGTCTACAGTGAACACTGGCGTAAAGAGAACAACCTGCAACAGAATGTGAGCTCACTCAAGGATGAACTCTCCAGAGCAGACCAGTCATTGCGTTCCATGGCTGGCAAGGTGAGTCTCGGCTTCTATCAAATGTGTCAAATTTACAGATAATAATACTGGTGCCTTTACACACACACACACAGTGGTCCCTCGATTAACGAACGGTTCAATTAATGAATTAGCTCCCATAAGGATTTTCAGTTACATTAACAAACAAAACTTCAATTAACGAAAGCCTTAGGAGAAACACTGTCGTGTGCATCAGCCGATCGGCTAGTCTGCCAATGCAATAATTGGTTCAATGTTTACATTCGTTTCCAGTGGAATAAATATCAAGAAAGTTGTGCTCTTGAAAAAATTTCTCTGGACCCTTGTTGCAAGATTCAAGTGAATAGAAGACAGTATAATAGAGGAAGGAGAAGGCGGTGTTAATCTGTTGTAAGGTTACAAGGGTATAGCTGCTGGGGGGGGGGTGTGATTGACTAGGATTGTTGTGGGAACCACTTGTTTGGCCTTGGGGTTCAAATGCAGATATAGAATGGTGTGATAAGAATTGTGCCATTGAATAACTTGACATGGCAGTTGTTATTAATCCCCTATTTACTGACTTTTATTCAGTTCATATTTTTTTTTTTTCAGCCAATCCTCAATGGTCGTGATAGTGTTCAGAAAGTGTTGGATACATTCCGAGATCGTGGGGGTCACTTGGGAGAAATTGCTACCCAGTATTATGGACTTCTTATTGAGAATTTTGAATGTGAGCGATCCATCTATACTGCTGTGGAAGTTACTGCTGGTAATAAGTAAGTGTGACACTGCCTTAAATATAATTGCATGAAATTGTATAACAGTGTTGCTAGATTTGTGTGTAAGCTGCATCTCTTAAGAAAATTTTAGTGAATTCGATTGGTTCCTTTTCTCTTGATCTTTTCAGCAGAGCGTAGCTGTAAATTTATAAAAAAAATTCCTAGCTGCTTTTAATTAAGTCTTTCCTGTCATTTGTTTCTCAGTAGAGAAAATTCAACTTGTGTGCATTTTCACATGGGTTTGGTTTTACCTGTCAATAAATAATTATAGTTAATCCTGTCAGCTGCATTGGATCATATTATCTCCTTGATATATAGGATATTAATTAACAGTGAGTATCTAATTTGGCATTTTGTTTGGTAAGTTATATTAATGATTGATTGTTTCTGTCTGCAGACTTTTTCATCACATTGTAGAGTCTGACAAGATTGGTACTCAGATCCTGAAGGAGATGAACAAACAAAAGTTGCCTGGGGAGGTAACTTTCATGCCTCTCAACAGACTCACTGTAAAAGACATTGATTATCCCCAAACCAATGTAAGTGTACATGTAACCACTTCGGTGTAGGATCCCCTCTGTGCTGAATAAATTTGTGTGGCATTGGCCAAAAAAAAATATTAATTTGGTGTCCTTGTAGTGAAGGGGTTAATACAATATTTTGCTTCAGATCCTTATTATTATCCCCAAACAAACATAAGTTCCATGAAATGGTAATGTTTAAGTTTTTCATAATTACCCCCAGACTAATTTGAAGTTTCCACTTAAAAGTGCTGACAAGTTTCTGAGCCTTAACAGTGTTTGTAAACACAAAAATAAGCTGTAATGTATCACAGAATTGTTTTAGTTATCTTTGTGTCTTATTCTTGGAAGAAGGAAATTTGATTTTTTTATTTGAATTTTTGTGTGTGCATGCAGTGTGTGTGTGTGTGTGTACACATTGTAAAGTCATCATCCCAACTCCAATAGAAACAATACCTTCATCGGTGAAGTCATCTTGATTACCTGGTATCATTACTGTACAGTATGTCATTGTGTGAATGAGAGATAATCTCTGAAGTAGGATTAAATCTGCTATTTTATATTGATGTTGAAGGCTTGTATAATTATATAGCAGTGAAGGAGAAGCATGTATTTGTAATGTGTGTGCGCGCGCATCCGTCCATTGTCCAGTCCCTGGATACATGTTAATTGCAGTTTGAATTTTAATCCTTGTTTTTTCTCATCAAGTTTTTTAGGGGTGTACCAGATCAGGAATATTTTCATTATCCTGCAAATTAGTTAGGAAAAAAAGTACAGTATATATAAATGCAATCAAAGAGAAAGAAAATATGGAAATAGGTGATAAAGGGACTCGTTCGGGGCTGAGTTGGACTTTTTTAGTATTAGTCCTTGTTTGGTTTAATTTTCTCTATATAGTAATCTATTGTTTTAGCTTGCCTGTCAGGAGGACAAGACGAGCTATAGCTGTCCAACTGGTGTCGTCCACAAAGCTTTGGTTAACCTTTTGTAATACTGTAGTGATTTTCTGAAGAAGAAAAAAAAGTGGTACAAGTAAATCAGACAATATACTTTGGTAGATACTAGTCTGGCTGAAACTATATTTGACTTCATGCAGAGGTTAATGTTTTGGGATACAATATTTTTTGCATGTACAAAGTTTTGATTAACTTATGCTTATAGTACTTCGATGCAAGACCATGTTGAAGGTGTTTATGTTGTGTAAGTCAGTAATTAACACTGCTGTCAACATTAACCTATATCCCAGGTCAGCCAAATCAAACAATTCTTGTGCCTTCTTAACTGTTTTCCAGCTTGTATTATACCAAATGTCTTTATATAAAGAGTAAAGTATATAAAGTATTATAATAAGAGTAAGAATACTTTTAGTCTTGTGGTAGAATATGGAGGAACTGGACAAAATCAAACAGTGTCTGCTGTGGAACATAGCTTTTAAGGATGTTGGTGGAGGATTTAATGTAAATATTGTTTTTTGTGAAGTAAAATGCAAGTGCAAGCTGCCTAGGGTGTTTGGACTATTGCATGAGTGCAGGTGTATGCTTGCAGTTAGCCCAGCCTAAATACAGTACAGTATACAGAAATCAACCCGGCCTATACTATCTGGTTGGATTTTCTTAAACTGGTAAATCCAATATCCAGCTGAATAGTAACATTCATGATTTGATACAACCCTACTATTTTTCCCCTCACCCAACAGGATGCCATCCCAATGGTGAGCAAGCTGACTTACTCACAGCGCTACCATAAAGCTCTCAAGTATATTTTTGGGCGTACCTTGATATGTCGTAATTTAGAGGTGGCAACTCATCTTGCTCGTTCAACAAGACTTGATTGTGTCACTCTTGATGGAGATCAAGTAAGTTTGCCATAGTTTTATTTGCATAATACGGTATCATAATATTGCATATAGCTTTGTCTTGAGCATTATCCTGCTCTCAATACTGTATGCTGTAATTTTCTAGTAAGTGAAAATAAGACTTTTAAAATGGCCAAAGTAATCATGGAGACACTTTTTGATAGGTATCAAGTAAAGGCTCACTGACTGGTGGATACTTCAACACCTCACGTTCACGCCTTGAGATCCAGAAGACCAGGTCTGAACTGCGAGACCAAATCACTACAGCAGAGACTGAGCTAAGAACATTACAAGACACCCTGAGAAACACAGAACAAGAAATAAACAAGATTGTATCTGAAATGCAGAAGACAGAGATCAAGAACAGTAAAGCCAAGTTAGTAGTGATTATTTTGTAGAGAAACACATCCTATTTGGAATGTTGTATATGCTATTACAAGTGTCTTTCTAATTAAAAAAAAATGCATCAAAGAAGTCTGAAAAGTATGGAACATGTTTTGAAATTAGAGTGAAAACTATTATAGATAGTTATTTGAAAGTTTCCAGCATTAAATATTTTGGGGGAAATTATATATAAATCTTTCCAATCTCCAACACATTACAGAAACCTCTCTGTTATCCAGAGTTTTGGATCCCCAGTACTTTCCATTACAGTACCTGAAAAATAAAATTTTAGCATTCTGAGAAAATTCTCTGTTCCGGGCATTCAAATGATTTTCCGAGTGATTGCATCATGTGACGAGTGCATGGGTGGGTAGGCTCAGAGTTTATTGTCGCACATCTCCAAACTTTTGTGTACTGTATTTCCAAATTCCACTTTATCTGACAACTCTACACCTTTATTGTCCTTAATTAGGATTTAGATGTAAAAATGATAAATTTTCTTATAATTTACCACATAATTACATGAGACTAATTGAGGAAAAAATGGACAATCAGTCAACTAGCTGAATGACTACTGGTGGAGGCAAGTCTATTTGTCTGAGGGAGTTTGGGGAGCAAGTTATATGGAGATTGTAGGAGAATGATGGCACTTTGAAAGCTTATGTGTAGATTTCATAACATTGCAAGTGTTGGAGAATAATGAAGTTAGTAAACTGATGAAGTATACTTGTTGGGGGGGGGGGTTATTACATACTGTATTTTCATTTTCGCTTACAGTAAAAATCTAAAAATAGTAAGGAGAAAAAAACATTCTCAGTTTTGGGTATTTGTAAATCATTGGAAAAACAGGTTTAGAGTTTTGAACATCTTTTTGGTAATATAACCCTTCCTTAAATCAAGGGTTGCTAGTACATATTTAATAATATTGGGGTTTTTCCTCCTTGCACAGAAACTTGTTTGAGAAAGTAAAAACAGACATTCGACTAATGAAAGAGGAACAGTCAGGACTTGAACGCACCAAGCAGCCAAAGGAGCGATCACTAACACAATTAAAAGCAAACCTGGAAGCCATGATGGCTACCAAAGAAGGTCTTGAGTCTGAGCTTCACCAGGACCTCATGGCTACCCTTAGTGTTCAGGTAAGTTGAGTTCACACATTATTTACCCACACATAGTTAGTATTAAATAATGAAGGTTAACTAAGACAAACGGGATGTGGTCCCTTCATCTTCATGAAAATAGTGTAAGATTATTTATTTATTTTTTTTGGGGGGGGGGGGTGCTCTGGAAACCTTTTAGTTTGTCTGGTCTTATGCTATACATGGATTGTTTTGTAAACATTGACACATATGTATTTTGGTGTGCTCATATGAATTCACTTTAGTTTATCGTGTTCAGTTCACCTTACGTACAGTAGTACTCTAATTTGCTGTTGTCTGCTGCTTCTAATTTTCTTCATCCATTATGTTTCCATTCAGTTAAGAATTTATTTCCCTACTCGTACATTTTAGTCCCACGGGACTATTCTTTCTCTCCTCACTCATCCAAACATTAATATATATATATATATATATATATATATATATATATATATATATATATATATATATATATATATATATATGCATGCATGCAAGTAAATCACTGTAGGTATGCGTGATCTAGGTATATGCTGATAACCACAAGGAAAGAAGAAAACACAAAGTTCCCAAGTGCTTTCGTGTAATTCACATCTTCAGGGGTGAGTACAGACTAAAGAGAAGTACAAATCAAGGTGTATATATACAGAGGAGGGTGAGACCAGGTCCACAATGGTCAGGTATTAGGTAATAACCCTACTAATCTTTAAATAGCACCGCAATGGTCGGTAGTCAGGTCAGAGGGTAAGGTGACCCAACCTCACCTGGTTACAAATCTTTTTAATTACAAAATTGTCCAGCTTGTACATGCCATTACTCAAATTCATGTTGAATGCTTCGGTATGTTTAATAAGACTAGATTCTATGATGTTCCTACTATCAATTGAATTACAAGGTAATATTGAGGAGGCATTATCCCAGTCAATGCAATGCTTGTTATCCCTCAAATGAACAAACAGACCATTGGATTCCTGGCCTGTCCTAACACTATATTTATGTTGTTTAAGTCTAGTTACAAGATCTTTACCTGTCTGGCCTAAGTAAAACATATTACATTCCTTGCAAGGAACTTTATAAATGCAACCAATTGTGTTGTTGGGGGAGTTCTTGATTAACCTTTGTTTAACAGTGCATGAGTTTTTAAATGCCACATTGACATTCCAGGTTTTTAGTTGTAAAGCAATGTGTGAGAAATTTTTGTGAAATGGTAATGTTAAGACATTCTTATGGTCATGGGTGGACTTGGGATCAGTTCTATAAAAAGTTTTCTTAGTAATGTTTAGGCATTTGTCTATGAAAGATCTAGGGTATTTATGGTTTGAGCCAATATTATAGATATATTTATATTCCTCATCAATGAATTCCGGACTGCAAATTCTCAGAGCACGTAAAACATTGTTGAAAAAATACCACTGTTTGACTATTATGGTGGGCAGAATAATAATGAATGTATGAACACAAACTAGTAGGTTTTCTATAAATACTGAACTTAAAAGTGTTACCTATTCTGTGTATCAGACAGTCTAGGAATGGCAATTTACAGTCTTGCTCTAATTCCACAATGAATTTGATCGAGGGGCTAAGTTGTTAAGTTGTGGCAGGAAAGCTTTTAGGTCCTCATTACATGGCCAGAGACATAATACATCATCAACATATCTAAACCAGACTGCTGAAGATGTGAATTACACTAACGCTTGGGAACTTCGTGTTTTCTTCTTTCCTTATATATATATATATATATATATATATATATATATATATATATATATATATATAAATATATATATATATATATATATATATATATATATATAATATATATATATATATATATATATATATATATATATATATATATATAATATATATATATATATATATATATATATTATAATATATATATATAATATATATATATATATATAATATATATATATATATATATATATATATAAATAAATATATATATATATATATATATATATATATATATATAAATATATATATATATATAATATATATATATATATAATATATAATATATATATATATATATAATATATATATATATATATATATATATATATATATATATATATATATATATATATATATATATATATATATATATATATATATATATATATATATATATATATATATATATATATATATAGCTCAGAGGCAACATTGCCTTAGTTGCTCTCTGAAGATGTCTTGAATAAAACGAAAGCTAGGTGCTGCATTGTTTCCTTCCTGTGATTTTATCAAGATTTATTTTATCCACGTCTTCATTGTGGGTTCACATGAAATATATATACAGGTATATATTTGGCCCTTAACATATCATGGGGGTTAGGTAACAGATACCGTGAATGTTAAAAGCCATGTACTTTTGTCCCCCATGTCCTTATTTACCATATATACCTGTGTGTAGTTCGAGTTTTTAAGACCAAATTATTTGGCAAAAAATTGGAGGTCGACCTCTAAACGGCTAATAGTTTCTTTAGGTTGAAAAATATTTACCATAACTACCAGTAAACTATGGAAACGACGCACCACCAGCTGTGAGTGTCGGTACAGTTGCCAGGGCAGATCTCTTGCATCATCATAGGAAGCCCAAAGTAGCCAAATGCATGGTATGGTATACACAGGACGATGTAAAACAAAGTATTCATTTTTTAAAGTTTATTTATAGATACTGTACATAAATTTTTGTTCATTACATTTGAAACATCAATCTTTGTCAATTAAATTTGAAACAAAAGAAAACTACGATACCGTATTCTCATTAAAATATTACATCACAAGTATAGTTTACCTTAACTGTGACTGAATGAATATATTCTCAGAAATAAATATGGAAATGTAATATTTTGGCTGAAATGACATACATATTACAGTGGAAAGTGGGATAAAATCATGACAAAAACAATGACTTTCGCTTTCTTTCGTTGTTCGAAAGATTTTACCGTAATCACTTTTCGAATGGTTTTGAGTTAAAAAACTGTTGTACCGTACTGTATTACAATAATATTCTATCCTATCATTAGCCTCATAATCCCACAACTGAAAACCATTCGAAAAGTGATTACGGTAACATCTTTTGAACGAAAGAAAGCGAAAGTCATTGCTTTCGTCACAATTTTATCCCACTTTCCACTGTAATACGTACGTCATTTCAGCAAAAATATTACATTATGATATTCTCAGAAATAAATAGTAGTTTTGTTGAAACGTAATGTACAGTATTTAATATTAAAATGCAAAAAGAGCTATAAAATCAATTAATACTGTACACCCGTAATGTACTGGCTGGCATCTCCACTCGTCCCTGCTGCCGCCAGTCACCACTCCTCCCCGCTCTATGCCTCCGCCTCCTCCACATCGTCACTACTGTTGTATTATACAATAATATTCTATCCTAATTCACTTGAATAAATACTACGATACCATATTTCTGAATATTTTCATTAAAATCCATCAAAATCATTTTCCTTGTCATCGTCTTAAGCACCAAACAGCTCCTCCCAGTCTTCTCCTTGAACAGGGCTAGAGGGTGCGTGTTTTTCGAATCGTTTTCAATTAAAAAAATGTTACAGCACATGTATATTTTACCTAAACTGCGCCTGAATGAATATATTCTCAGAAATAAATAGTAGTTTTGCTGAAACGTGATGTATTTCAATGTAAAATAGGATAAAATACATGACGAAAACAAAAGACTTTACCTAACCTTCCGATGTTCAAGAGATGTTACTCGTTTTTTTAATAGTTTTCGGTTAAAATACTGTTATATTACAATGATATTCTATTCATACTGTGCTTGATATATTACATTCACGGAAATGTAATATTTTTGCTGAAATGACGTACGTATTACAGTGGAAAGTAATCGACGAATGATTCGCTTTTTCATGTTATTGCATGTTGATTGGTTTCAGTTAAAAAACTGTTGCATCAAATGAATTATGGAATATTATTGTAATACAACAGTTTTTAACTGAAAACCATTTGAAGCGATTATTTAAAATATCTTTTTAAACGAAAAGAAAGCAAAGTCATTGCTTTCGCCACTTTCCACTGTAATATAATATTTCAGCAGAAATATTTCATTTCCATATTCTCAGAAATAAATAGTTGTTTTGCTGAAACGTAATGTATTTCAATGTAAATTAGGATAAACTACATGAAAACAAAGACTTTACCTAACTTACGATGTTCAAGATTTGTTGATCGTTTTTTTTAATAGTTTTCGTTAAAATACTGTTATAATAGTGATCTTCTATTCATACTGTGCATGATATAATACATTCACGGAAATGTAATATTTTTGCAACTACAATGCTGATGTCAACACAAGTGTGGTTACAGCGAGACTGACTTGAGTGAGGAGCTATGCGTGTGTGTGAGGTTGCGGGAGCGGGCGGTGTCCTGTGTGAGGTGCCATACTAGTTGAATGTACTTCAATTACTTCAGTGTACAGAATATTCCTCTGGCGGGGCAATTCATGCATAGTATTTGCAAACCCGCGTATGTTAAGGGCCGACTGTATATATATATTGTTTTGATGAAAACTTTGTCTTTTGACAATTCTTACACTCAGGTAGCTACTTAGTACCAAACTAGTTGGAGACCTCTTAAATATTTTACACGTTTTGATTTCATTGCTTGTTCATTATAACTTCTGCTCATATACATTCTTACAAGATTCACAAACATTTGTTAACTTAAACAGAATTGCTCAATTTAGGTAGTGTCATTACAGAGCACCTTATTTTGCTGGTTACCAAACAAGTACTGAACATTAATTGTGTATACATCAATCTAAATTTGAAATTTCAAATCTGAGTGTGTTTACAAGGATAACTTGTTCCACAGGACCAACATGAAGTTGATCAGTTGAATGATGACATCAGACGGCTCACTCAAGAAAACAAGGAAGCTTTCACAAGACGCATGAAGTTGGAGGCAGATAAGAACAAGCTGGAGAATCTTCTTACAAATAATCTTCATCGAAGAAAAGATGAACTTATGCAGGTACTGTAATTTGGATTTATTCCCTGATTCATGTTGTGTCTTTGTCTGTTACTGATGGGCTTTATATAGGTACAGTATGTATTAGTGACCAGCCAGCTTAGCCTACTGTATTAATACACTGGGTACCGATATTTATGATTGTGGGAATGTGTATTTTATTAATTTTGTTGCAGTATAATATAGACTCTGTGTTTGACAGGCCTTGCAAGAAATATCGGTAGAAGACCGTAAGCGCCAGTTAGAGCACAGTCAAAGTGAGATACAGAGAGTTGATGCCCGGATTGATGAAGTGGCTATACAGTACAAAGATGTAGAGAAGAAAGTCTCAGAACATCAGAAGAAAGAAAAGGTAAGAAAAATATATTTTCAATAATATGCAATGCCTCACTCCCCACTGGGAGTTGCCAAAATAAAAGAGCCTTCAGGCTACCCCATCACTGTATGTTGCTTCACTGCTTATATTCCCTCCTGAATTCTTTCCTTGGTGTTCCATTCTCTCCCACAGTGCAAGTGGTCTCCTTTTACCCTTACACCAAAAAACTGTATTTTGATAGTAATTTTCCTAATTTCTGAATGATTTTCAATGTCTACAATTTTTGTTGTCAGTAGAATGCCTTCTCATGATATTAAGTTTTTATTAGACAAAGGGGGGTGGGGTGCACTGGGGGACGAATTGTTACCAAGGCATTAAAACAAGAATGGATTTAAGAAATTACTCGTCAACTGTCAGTTGGAATATGTACTGTATATGGTGGGTAAATTGTAAATAAAATACTTATTAAGAGTTACTATCTCTTCCTCCTCCCTCCAGAGTTTGAAGTCTGAATTAGAGAAGGTTAAGACAAAGGAGAAGGAAGTAATGGAAAGAATGGAGGAAGATGCCAAGGACTTGGAGAAAATGGCATCAAAACAAAATCTTTTGCATCAGAAGATTGATGAATGCACCAAGAAGATTCGTGATCTGGGGTCTTTACCCTCTGAGGCCTTTGATAAATATCAGGTAAGTTTATTCCTAGATTCAGCTTAGATAATCATGTAATCAAAGTAAGTTAACTTTAAGTCAATGTGAAATGTTATATAAATTTTAGCAGTTCTAGACATATTTGTTGCCAATGATTTTATGGAGCCTTCTACTCCTACAGGAAGCTCTGTAGGAAAAATAATCTTGACTGAACTTACATTGCCTTAAAAGTGAACTATTTAACTAAAATACAGATTAATGAGCAGAGGTACACCAATCCTGTATCACATTGTTGTAACATCTAGGCCCTTCTATGTTGATTTGTATTTATCTTAGCTAGAGTCACATGGCAGTGATTATGGAAGGTGACAAAAGAACTTTTAGAAGTTTTAAGAGTGTGGCATTTTCTATTGAGAATTGTGTTGAAGCATTGACTGTCTGGAGCCACAGTAGGGTTTGAGCTTCAGTGCCTCTTCTGTGTACAGTAAACAATATTCAAAGTTGAATTTTTTTTGTTTCAGAATCTACCAACCAAACAGCTTTTTAAGAAATTGGAAGGTTCCAACATGGAGCTGAAGAAATACTCCCATGTGAATAAAAAAGCCTTGGACCAGTTCATATCTTTCTCCGAGCAAAAGGAGAAGTTGGTGATGAGAAAAGAGGAGTTAGATAGAGGGTGAGTTTTGCATTAAGTGACATATTTAGTAAATTAGTATATTCTGTAATCAGATGTTTATTATTTTAACTTTATTATTTTTCACCTAAATAACAAAAGATATACTGTATACAGTACAGTATACTGATTAAAAATACCTACCTTTAATATTTGGGACAGAATTTGTTGACCTACAAAAAACAGTGAGCTTCTGGTTTAAAGATTGTTCATTAGTGCATCAGCATAAAATATGTTTCAAGCAGATTATTTAATAAGGTGCTTGTGGTTTTATGTAAAAATTATGACGTCAAAATTTTATGGTAATCATAGTGTGTAAAAATTTTATTGTGTTACTGTATGATAAATATTTATTACTGGACAGATTCCCATTCCTTGTGTGGAGTCACAAACCAATATTCCCTTACAATATCAAAGAAGATGCACATTTTGTTTATGCAGTAGTCTCATACTGTCTATATATCACATTACAGATATGATAAGATTAAAGAACTTATGAACGTCCTAGAACACCGCAAATATGAAGCCATTCAGTTCACCTTCAAGCAAGTATCTAAGTATTTCAGTGAGGTGTTCAAGAAGCTGGCACCTCAAGGGCATGCTCAACTGGTAATGAAATCTGACAGGGATGATGAAAGTGAGGTGAGTTGACCACATCAAGCCATTAGTAATTTTACTGAGGAATTAGAAAAACAGCGCTCAAATACAATCCTAAGAGTGGGTTGCTATTTGATAAAATGGTAAAACCTCCATTATTCATGATTTATCATTATTCGGCTATTTTTAGAAAGTCATACTCGTAAAGTTTGCATAAGCTCAAATCTCACAAAAGAACAATTATTTAAAAGTAAGGCAATGGGGATACATTCCACAATGTATGGTTTACTTATACTGCCCAAGATCCATTCTACCACTGTATACAGTAACGATAATCAAACCGTAATTATCTTATAAAATAAAAATCATGTAAAAGAAAAAAATGGCAAACTCATCTATGTGGTCCTTGGTTAGAAAATTTCAAAGATAAAAGGAAGTGAATACAGTGATATCTCTGTTAGCCAGAGCAATTGGTGCAGAGCACTTCCGTGAATGAGAGATTTCCAGATAACAAGGCGATTCAAAGCCGGGGGAAAAATCCCTCATCCTTGGAATTTTCCGGTACCGGATAATTTTTCTCAGAATTTCCGGAAAATGCACCTGATTTTCATCTCTGAACCCCAGGAAAAAACTCCCCCATCCCCGGAATTTTCCTGGTGTCAGGAATTTTTTTTCGGAATTTTCAAAGGAAATTTAAATTCTGGTTATTGGAGAGTTCCGGGTTTGAGGAATTCCGGCTAACGGAGATATTACTGGTTTGCTAGTACTTTCACACACACATATATTTGTTTTAATTTTAATAATTTATTAAAAGTTTTATGGTAAATTGATCAATGTTTTTGTTACAGCATGAAGAACAGGGAACAGTGGACAACTTTACTGGAGTTGGTATTCGTGTGTCATTCACTGGCAGAAATGCTGAAATGAGGGAAATGAACCAGCTGTCAGGAGGTCAGAAGTCTTTGGTGGCTCTCGCCCTCATCTTTGCTATTCAAAAGTGTGATCCAGCTCCATTCTACCTCTTTGATGAAATTGATCAGGTAAGTTATGTACTACCTTTAGGATGATGTATTTGTACCTTTCAATAAAACTAAAGTAGAAAGAAAGGTTTAAGAATAAGAGATATACAGTATACATGTACTGACTGATTTATGAAGAATACTGTACAAGTTTGTAAGGACAAGAGCATGCATAGTTGTGAAGCATTATGTATGTAAATATAAGGGCAATTGTGGCTACAAGTCTCTTCAGGAAGTTGATTTCATGAACAAGTGAATAATTAAGACATTGAAGGCATTTAGAATATGAAATGATTCATGTTTTCACTTTACTTGAGAAGACGATAAAGTATTACAATATGACTCCTCTCAGTTGAGGTTGGCAAAAAGATGAATAGGTAAATCAGTAATCAAGTAGTTATTCAGTAACCACATGAGAGAAGTAGTTGGCGACAACACAGCACAGATCTTCATACCTTGCAAGTTTTCTTGAACTGTTTGCTCTACCTGCCTCATACAGCAAGTTGTATATTATTGTTTGTCTTGAAAATTTATTAAAAGAAGATTAACATGTTTTTCAGGCCCTTGATGCTCAACACAGAAAGGCTGTAGCAGATATGATTCATGAACTGAGTAAAGATGCCCAGTTCATCACAACCACTTTCAGACCAGAGCTGCTGGAACATGCTAACAAGTTCTATGGTGTAAAATTTAGAAACAAAGTGTCCCATGTGGAATGTGTGTCAAGAGAAGAAGCTTATGACTTTGTTGAAGATGATCAGACTCATGGTTAAACTGTAGTGGTTGTGTTTGTTATGGCTGTGCAGTGTGTGTGTGTTCTCCGAGAATTTTCAAGAGCGAACACTGACTAGCCCCTAGTGAATATTCCCTATGACATCCAGATTATATTTTTTAGATTATATGAGGAGAACTTTTATGCAAGGCATGTACAGATTTTTTTATGTGAAATGATTGGTAAAGTATGAATATGTGATTGTATGAAAAGATAAGTGGAAATGTGATGTTATTGATGTGTATATATTTATTTTCTCCACAGGCATTGTGTGCTTGTGTATTGAAAACGGATGTTGTATCTGTACAAAAAGATATATTCATACAAAATTAGCTTATTTTCTAATGTGCATAAATGTGAAGGGACCTGAGGTACCATAATATTCTATAAAAGAAAGCGCTTTTGTTGACAGGGTTTTTTATTAAAACAATTTCTTGTTTTATTTTACATTTGTAATTGATATTAATTTTTTATATAATTTTTTCAGTTTCATTTTATGTTTGTAAAAGAGGCATTTTTTTAAGCAATCTTCAGTTTTATTCAACATTTGCAAATTTTGTATTAATTTTAAACTTATATTCTCTGCAGTTCTTGATATACTGTAATTGTGATTTCAGTTCATGTAAATGGCCAAATCCTCCAAGGAAACTGGTTTATACAAAGTGCTCTTTTTTATTTCTTTTATAATAAAAGATAAAGCTTAAAACATCCATTATTTTCCTGTAAAACTACAAATACAGTATAATCTTTGAACACAACTTACTATTACCAATGAATTATTTTATACTGGTGTGGTGCAGTATGGCTAGAACATACAGTATTTTCCATCAGGTTTATCCTGGTAACGTAAAGTTAACAGTAGATTCCTGTGTGATTATGACACAAGTACTACACTATGACACTAGTACTACATTTTATGACATTAGTACTACAGTATGACACTAGTAATACACTTTTACACTAATACTACATTTTATGACACTAGTACTACATTATGACACGAGTACTACATTATGACACGAGTACTACAGTATGACACTAGTACTACACTTTGACACCTAATACTCTTTTAAGACTATTAATACATCTACTGATGCTATGATGGAAATTGTTGGGGTTTGAATGCTGCCAGCAGCCTGTGATTGATGGTCTTGTAGTATACAATTTCCATGGCTGGATGAAGTGTACTTGTATCCTCTACATTTTTTGTTCGTTGATTATTATTTTTTTGTGTGGTGTGGGAGGGGGGGCGTCCAAGCACCTTAGAAACCCCCTGGTAGGGCTAAGACTAATTAAACTAGCACCAAGTACAGTTCCACTTCAGACTAGTGCCATAGTCAGATAATAATTATTTTTGAAAAATAAGTACAGGGTATATCAACATTCACGCCCTATGGCAATGTTTGTCATTGACGTCACAATTGTGGCTTGAGTTGGGTAACCACCTGGTAGCGGTGAGGAGGACAAAGCACTGTTTAACTGTTACCCTTGATAATAAAATCAAAGAACTACTGTTACAATTATTATCTTACTCATTAAAAGATGTAGAACAAAATAAATCTGAAAGTTGTGAGCATATGAACCATATATCGATTGAGATGTTTGTCCTCTGTTACAACTTTGCCTTGTTGTGCTTCACTCTTGCCATGTCTCAAATCCATTTTAGTAATCGGTGGATGATGAATTGTGTTACTACAGGGTCATTTCAAGGGTTCTAAGGTGATACAATACTGTTTTTTTTTGGAACTTTGTGTGATAATTAATGGGGAGTGGGTCATTTAGTAAAAACTTGTAGTTAAAAAACGAGAAGAAATATGGGGTGAACAAACAAGTTGACTGAGTCTGATATTATTTTAGTGGTTGGAAAGAGATTGGTCTTGTATTGATGAAGTTGTGTCAGACAGCAACATGTAGATGAGGATACAAGAAGGCTTGTGGTGTTAGCGAGCAACTAAGGTACATACTGTATGAGAGGTAGCACCACTCCCAAAATGCCCTGCAGTAATCGAACAATTATAAAAACAGCGTTTGTAAATATTTTCTTATGGTATAATGTGCACCTTTGGTGCAATAGCTGTCAGACTTATAGGAGACATGATATTTAGAGGAGCTGATAGATCCAGTATACTGGGTGCCTCTTGATAGAGGATTTTAATAGCTATGAAAAATTTACAATGTTGTCCAGTGATTCATTGTTTATGTTTATTCATATTATTATTATTATTTGAATGGAATTTTCTGGTAAATCCATGGGGTGTTGTTGATGTAAGAGGGGTGTTATCCCATTGTGAACCTGACCACACATTTGTAGGTTTTCTCCGGGTACTCCTGAACTAACACCGTGCCATGGAGGATGACCCGCACTACCAAACATTCAGCTTTTCTCTTGCTTTGTTACTAGACATTGAAGGTTGTTTCAGGGAACAGTATGTGCATGACGGAAAAGACAACAACCGACCAGCTAGTCTGTTACTGAGCTGACAAGTGATAAAGATTATAAATAAAAAAAAACAGTACAATCTCACTAATGTATGACGCTCACACTGAATTTAAAAAATTACATTACAGTGACCTAATTAATGTGTACAATAGTTTGTTACACTTTCTTTTGTGTGTTCTGAATGGTCTGTTATCACTAAACATTTAGTAAACACACATTGGCACATGACATTACTAACCACTCCTGTACACACAATCCTTATTAATGCCTCCTGCACAGACACACCTTTAATGTTTCGTGTATATACATGCATAAATTATTAACATTTCTGGCACTTAATGTTTTGTTTATACATAAACACACTATTAATGTCTCGTGTTTATGCACAAACTATCAATGTCTTGCCCAGGTACTGTGCTTTCTGAATGTACAGTACCTGAATCTGTGCCAATGTTGGTTAAATGTGGCCTTGAGCCGATGGCTAACACCAGAACGTGTTCGATTTTGTTCATTATTTTCCACATGTTCTTTGGATTATGATAATAAAATGATACGACAATCCACTTTACCTAACTTCCTAGCTGGGGGGGCTGACCATCCACCATATTAAATAGAAAGTACGTACTTAAGGTACTTAGCTTGATATCTGGTGTCAATTGAGGCAACTTTCTTGAAGCGGCATGGCATAATTTTATGGTTTTTGTGGACGCGAGATTACACTCGGTCTGAGTGTAAACAATGAGCAGACAACACATGGTGACAAGGCAGAATTTTTGGCTGATTATTTATGGTAATTAATTAATTTCTTCACATACAAAGCATGTATAGATGTCATTTTAGTGTCATATGATCAGTTTTCACCGTGTTTTACCACGCACTATCCCTCATCCTTCATATTCTGCCCACTACAGGTTTTTGATCATAGATAGAGAAGAACTAAATACTTATAATTAAAATAAAAAGTTATGTCATTTTTATTACTTATCATCCAAAGAATATTGTAGAAAAAATGAACAAAATCAAACAACTCCTTCTGGTGGTAGCCACCTGCTTCGGTATTACCCTCGATTCTGTCACAACACTGGCAGGTTATTACAATTGACAACTGAAATTTTTCTGTACTTGTGGCTTCTTTAAATTGAGACTAACCTCTAGTGGGGCAGGCATCAGCTAGCTCCAGCCCCAGATATGAACACTTGACTGCGTAAAGTTCCCTTTGGGGCTTATAAACTTTATTAAATCGCCCTTTGCCTGCCTATACAAGGGCGGATCCAGGGAAGGGGTGGGTCCGGACTCCCCTTTTCACCTGGAAATTCCAATACTTTTCTTTAATGCAGTATTGTACTCAGGCATTTTTGTATAGTAAAAAGTATTTACTATTGACTTCAGAATATCTCCTAATATCAAGTGCGCATGGCTTCAAAATGCACATGATATTGGTCAGATTTCAAAACCACCCAGCTGGGTGGGCTAGCTGCGCTCGCCATGTCCCCCCCCTGCAACTTCTTGGACACCCCCCTTTGATATTCCTGGATCCGCCCCTGTAACCATAAATATATGGGATGGCAGTAGAATACTCCAGGGAACATCTCATCTTGGAGGTCCATAATAACGACATTTGAGTCACATGAAATGATGTATAAAGAGGAAAAAGTATGGGCGACATAGGGGTCACAAAACGTGTCCATTACCCGCCGCCCCAAAAAAAAAAATAAATAAATAAAAAATTACTAATAGCGATTTAGTGAGTAATAAATATTGAGAGGTTATCGTCGCGTGTGAGACCGTTAGCAACACAAAAATAAATAAATATATCGAAAAAGGAATCGCCTCTTACAGTAAATGCACAATCCAGTGTTTGATAGCCTCGTCCGCCGCCTCCAAAGCTGCAAATCATGTAATAGCAGAGGTAGAGCCATAAACTGTACAGCCTCTTTTTCTAACGTTGTCTGTAAGTGTATGTGGCTTTTGTGCCTTTGAGTCGAATTAACTTTATTCTAAAAAAAAATGAGTAAATGATAAAGAAAGACATTGCTGGGTGACGCATACCACTGAACTACAAAAGGTTAGGAGAAACAACCTGTAAGCAACAGTCTAGAACAAAAGGTTTAATAATGAGACATACAGGTTCATAGTAACAACTCTTGTATCGTAAAGAGAAATAAAGGGAATATGGTATTTCAGGGGGGTTGCCTTACATAAGTTGTATGATAAACCGCCATTTAGTGGTAACATGATAAACAGAAGTTTATTAATGGCGTACACAAATTCAGTTAAATGTTTTTCAGTCAAAAAGAGGAATAAGAGGGATAAATATGTGGTGCGCAGGAGCCTGGGGGCGCGTCACTTGTCTGAGGGACCGAGGGATGATGGGACCTTCTGTCTTGTTTCCCGCCGCCAGGTCGCTATGTTACAACAATACCACAAATGGCACCGCCAGGCCATTTATTTTTCGAGGGACGCGAACCAACCAAACCTATCCGGACCTAATCCAAAATAATCATGGGAGAATAAGACTTAGATTAGGTTAAATCAGTTTAGATTGAGGCTATCTACATTTTAAAATAAAAATTAACAAATAGTTTAGCGGTGATGTTCGTGGCAATACTTTTAACATTAGCCGTGTCTCCTGTTTCCCGCCAGTGAAGGTTTATAGTACACGTGAGGCGGTCCTCCCTGGGACTATTTTTATATAAAGAAATACCAACATGAGTGACCATGAAGACGAACATACCATCGCCGAGGACCTGGTGGTCACCAAGTACAAGATGGCCGGCGAAATTGTCAACCGTGAGTAAAATAAACACCAGAAATGTGGTGAAATGAAGATGGTGGTGGAGAAGGTTGAGTTGCCGGGTGTCCATGTTTGTTGGTGGCGCGTGGGAGGCCTCGCGATATTTACCTCTATATTGACCCTCCATCAAGGATAATTACATCGTTTTTTCAATTGTGAGCTAAATTACACCCAAATATGGGATGAAATAAGTATTTTGTTGGAGGTGTTTTAGTTGCCAAGTGTCATGATGGATATGGGAATTGCACCATATTTACTCATTTCTAGACCTCTATATTGACCGCAGGACGCGAGATAATGGCTTTTTATAATCAATTTTGAGCTATACAGCACCCAGATATATGATGAAATATATCGTGGTGGAGGAGGAGGAGAGTTAGGAAGTGTGGACTCTGTTGTGAGGGTCACCATATTTACCACTATATTGGCCCCAGGAGACGGGGTTATGACCATGAATTGGGTGATACCAAGTGTTTATACATCACGGGAGGCGAATATGACCTGGAGTGATGTGTTTTTGACCTGTAAACATGGCTATTGTAATATGGTAAACTCCATTACTTGGTTACCTCCATTAGGCCTATTTACACGGTCCGACTAATTACCCAAATGTAGCCGCAATGAAGTCAAATGATGGTCGTACAAGCGTAATTCGGGCTGTGAATCACTGCTCGATTATTATTTGGTGTCATAAAGTAAAAAAAAAATTGGTAAACTTAATTTAATCCGAGTTGTGTTAGGTTAGGTTAGGTTAGGTACATGCACTTGATCTATTAACTCAGATTAAATTAGGTTTACCAATTTTTTGTGACCCCGTGACACCAAATACTTACATACATACGTACATACATACTAGTCGAGAAGTGATTGGCAGTCCGATTTATTCATGTAGGACCATCATTTGACTTCATTGTGGCTACATTTGGGTAATTACTCGCTCCCTCGGTACATGCACTCAATCTATTAACTCAGATTAAATTAAGTTTTTCAATTTTTTTTTTACTTTGTGACACCAAATACTAGTCGAGAAGTAATTGGCAGTCCTATTTATTCATGTAGGACCATTATTTGACTTCATTGCAGCTACATTTGGGTAATTAGTCGGACCCCACAATGGTCAGGTATTAGGTAATGACCCTACTAAATTTGCATTGTCACCGTTCTGTTAGAAAGTCAAAAATATATTTTTCTACTGTATTTGTGTGTGTTTAGACCGAATATGACCTAACCTAACTGACTCTCACCATATGATGGAATCACCTATTTCTTACCTTATTGGCCTGTTTCTTGTTCATTGTTGGATTCTGAGAATCTTACACAACGCCACATATGTTGGTCTTTGCGATATTTACATTTAGTCTTGTTCTTAGTACACTTTACTGAGGTTGGAGGCAGCATGCGATCGAAAAAATGCTCTAGTTTCTTCGTTTTTCCCAATCAGCTCTATATAATTTAAAGGACACCCTTCGCAGACTTCCATGGTCGGCGGAACTGAAGTTACTGAACTTGAATTTCAAAATATAAGAGACCCGAAACAAAACTCGAATTTGATTGGGCCAAATATACTGCGAATTTAAACCCAAAATGATTTTAATTGGTTACAAAAACAAAAACGCTATTGACTGGCCGCGTGACGTGTACGGAAACGCATGCGTGTGATGATTTATGAAGGAGACGCAGGAGACACCAGTGTTGGAGGAGAGGTAGGCGATAATGGCGGAAGACTAATGGAAGAATATAGAGAAAATTTTGGATAAGCTATCTCCGTTATTATACATTTCCTCCGGTAATGTAATACAGTGATCCCTCGGTTAACGAACGCCTCGGTTAACGAAATTTCGGTTTACGAACTGCCTTCCATAAGAATCTTCAATTCGGTTAACGAATTTCTTACGAACTGACCTCAACATGTTTTCGCTTGCACTGGCCGGGCAAGCAGCTTTAGTATCAGTCCGCCAATACATTAATCGGTTCTAGGGCTTAAGTTCCTTACTATTTTAGTAAATATCAAGAAGTTTATACTATTCAATAATTTTAAAAGTTTAATATTCAATTTTTTAGTCATTTTAACAATTATTGAACATAATTGAAGGTAAAGTGACTAGTTTAATGCGCGGCATCCAGCCTCTTAACACAGCAAACAGGCGTTAGTCTCTCTGTTTTCACTGGAGGTAACATCTTGCTTGAGACTCTCTTCAACTAAATGCTTTTTTTCTGTGTTTCCAAGCAAATTATTGGTCATTTTGAAATTTATTTTACATATTGACAATATATAGCGCAGTGCAGTGTTATTTTAAAGAAAATATTCTTTATTTACAACAAGTTTAACTTTGAAAAACACGTGTTGACATTGTTTGAATCCAGCATGGGGCCTAAGAGATCAAGAAAAGCTATTTCAATCCAAACCAAGCAGGAAATCATAAAAAAAACATGAACAAGGCATTAAATCAAATGTGCTTAGCAAAGAATATGGCATGTCGGCATCAACTGTGTCGACAATTCTTGCACAGAAAGACAAATTTAAAGAAGTGAAAGTGAGAGACAAATCTACAAGAGTGTTTAAAAGTAGATCTCTAAATGCAGAAACTGAGAGGTTACTTTTCATCTGGACTAGGGAAGAACAGATGAAAGGTGATTCAGTTTCTAGTGAATTCATTTGTGAAAGAGCCAGGGAGATTTATGAACATTTAAAGGCAGATCAACCTGGTTCTTCAGGCACAGAATTTGAAGATTTTCGGGCCAGCAAAGGCTGGTTCAAAAAATTTAAGAAAAGAAGTGACATTTTAAGTGTTGTTAGGCATGGTGAGGCTGCCAGTGCTGATAAAGAAGGGGCAGCAAAGTTTTTAGTTGAATTTAAAAAACTGATGGAAGAAGAAAATTATCTTCCACAGCAAGTGTTCAATGTGGACGAAACTGGGCTGTTCTGGAAAAAGATGCCCAAAAGAACATTAATCACCAAAGATGAAGCCTCTTTGCCTGGGCATAAACCCATGAAAGACCGTCTCACTCTATTGCTTGGTGCCAATGCTTCAGGGGATTTCCGACTGAAGCCTATGGTTGACTACCACTCTGAAAACCCCAGGGTGTTCAAGCAACAGAAAGTGGTAAGAACAAAACTTGGAGTTTATTGGAAGTCCAACCGTAAGGCATGAGTGACAAGACAGCTCTTTAATGAATGGGCTGTTGATGTGTTTTGCCCTTCTGTCAAGAGCTACCTAACCACCCTTTAAAGGTTCTTTTCCTCATGGATAATGCTCCTGGTCATGACCCTGACCTTGCCAGCAATTTGGAGTATCAATTTGACTTTGTGAAAGTGTTGTTTTTGCCTCCAAACACTACATCAATCATACAGCCAATGGACCAGAATGTGATCAGCTACTTCAAGAAGTTGTACATGAAGAAAATGTTTAGGAGGTGTCATCAGGCAACTTCCACTGATCCTGAACTAACACTGAAACAGTTCTGGAAGACACAATTCAACATCCTGGAGGCTGTAAAATTGATTGTGTCATCATGGCAAGAAGTCTCCACTAGATCCCTCAATTCTTCATGGAAAGCACTGTGGCCATCAGTAGTCCATGATTTTGAGGGATTTGAGGAAGAAACAGAGTTGGACAAGGAGATTGTGTCCATTGGTCAGTCATTGGGCCTTGAAGTGGAGGAGGAGGATGTGGAAGAGCTTGTGATGTCTCATGAGGAGGAACTTACTCCTGATGACTTGAAGCAACTGCATGAGATGTTACAGGTAGAGGCTGACAGTGGTGAGGAGGAAATTGAAAGTGATGACCATATGTCAGCTAAACAGTTGAAAGATGTGATTTACTACTGGGAGAAGTTCAGGGAACTGGCTTCAAAGCACCCAGAAGTGGAAAAAACTGAACTAACTTTGTGTCATGTTGAGGACTCAGTGGTCTCCTTCTTTAAACATAAGTTAATGGTGAGGAGGACAGATGCCCCACAGACCACAATTGACACTTTCTTCAGTAAAAGGCAGAGGGAACAAGATGCTATCCCTCAGCCTTCCACTTCAAGAAGAAGAGAGGATGTTCATGGTGGAGAATCTGTCAGTCCAGAGGTTCCTGACATTTTCATGGAAGGTGACTCACCTTCCAAGAAGCAGTAAAATGCTTCTCCTCCACCTCCACTTCCTTCTCTTCTCCATTCTCCTCCTCCACCTCCCACTTCAAATGCACATCATCATCATCATCCAGGAGCCTTCTACTGTACATACACACCTCAAAGTAAGTGAACTTTTCTACCATTTTTGTTGAATTTAGGAAATTTTCGGTGAGCTGTAACCAATTACCCAAAAACCCATTGAAACAATGGTTTCGGTTAACGAACTTTTCGGTTAACGAACAACCTGCTGGAACGGATTGAGTTCGTTAACCGAGGGACCACTGTAGATGAAAATTATCTTATAATTAGACGTCTTATTCGAATATGATAATAGATTAGTGGTATATATAATATATATATATATATATATATATATATATATATATATATATATATATATATATATATATATATATATATATATATATATATATATATATATATATATATATATATATATATATATATATATATATATATATATATATATATATATATATATATATATATATATACAGTGACCCCTCGTTTAACGAACACCTCGGTTAACGTAATTTCGATTAACGAACTGCCTTCCATAAGGATTTTCAATTCGGTTAACGAAAAAAAATTCGGTTAACGAAGTTCTTACGAACAGACCTCAACATGTTTTCGCTTGCACTGATCGGGCAACCAGCTTTAGTATCAGTCCGCCAATACACTAATCGGTTCTAGGGCTTAAATTCCTTACTATTTTAGTAAATATCAAGAAGTTTATACTATTCAATATTTTTAAAAGTTTAATATTCAATTTTTTAGTCATTTTATCAATTATTGAACATAATTGAAGGTAAAGTGATTAGTTTAATGCGCGGCATCCAGAGATATTACTGTATAGTCATAGATGTCAAGCCTGACAATTATTGGGGATCTACACCATATTTGATTCTTTGTTTTCTGTTAATTTTGTAATGAATTATACATACTGTACTTGTGTGTGTAATGTACATAGAGTAGTTTTGTTCATGCGGTGCATGTCAAGGCAGCGGCACACTGGGTACTTTCCTCCCAACATGTTCGGTAAACACGGTCTGGCCATCAAAACAAAGAGATGTTTTGTTGGCCCATCTACCCAATGCAACGAAAACAATAACAAAGCATATAGGTGAGGTTCGCCATGGATCCCGTTACTACAGTTGAGGCCTTGTAGGAATGTGCCATAGTTCTTCAATTGCTAATGAAAGTAAGGCATCTGCAAAAGCTAAAGAAAAGACCATGAGTGTATCGTGATGTTTCTTTAAGAGTGGCGGCAGCTGGATGGTCATAAAAGACCCTGAATAATGATTTAATAATACTAAAGTTTTAAAGCTTTGAATAAATAGAAATATGTGACTGTTTATGTTTTATCTCTGGAATTATTATTGTTTCATGATTTATTTAAATTTATATTTGAATTTATATAAAGCCCATTTGAGCATTAATCCGGCCAGCAATGATCCCCGCCAAACCGTTATCCATTTCTCACAATAGCAGAAATCCTGCTGCTTGCTGGGACATTAGGCCAATGACCAGCAAAACGGGCACCATGTTTGGAGGAAAGTACCCAGTGTGCTGCCGCCTTAATGCTCATGTTTTCATCTGGACCAGACAGCTTATACCAGAAGTTGTTAATTTTCGTTATTTTTTTTCCTTGCATGTACACTGTACATTGTACAGTATATGTAATAAAAACAGGTAAAATTTTAGTTTTGGTCATCCCTGTATTTAGATATCCAAACTGTGATTTCCAACAGATATGAAGGACCAATTTGTTCAAAACACAAAAAAAAACAACAGAAACACAGAATTTTCATATATAACCTAACCTAATTCCTGAGATTTCCCGGATGACCAAAACTAAAATAATACCTAAAAACGATATGACAATGCACAGATCGTAATAGAATCTAACCTAACCAGCCAAAGATACCTACCTAACCTTACCTAACTTCCTAGCAGCCCTCTGGTCCCCCCCCGCCCCCCTCCCAGCATATTAAAACAGAAAGTACGTATACTTTGATATCTGGTACCAATGAAAGCAACTTATCGTGAAGTGGCATGGAGTAATTTTACATTTTTGTAGACGTGGGAGGACACTTGGTTGTTGGACGAAAACAAATAAATAGCGGATGATAACACAAGCAGACACCGCAGATTTTTCAGGGGAATATTTACAGTAAATAATTAATTAGTTTGTGTACACAACATGTGGAGACTTCATTTTAGTGTCGTGTGATAATTTTTTCACTGGCCACTACAGGTGATTTATGATTGTAGACAAAGCTAAAAAGTGAATCGTGTATTTGCAATAAAAGTACAGTATCATTTGTATTATTAGATAATGAAAAGAACATTTGTAGAAAAAAAATCTAATAACTTCTGGTGAGCCGTCTGCTCCACTAATCACCCTGTACGTATTTGTTTATGTTGTAAGGATATGAGGAAGTTGTTGAGCGTTTGTGATTGATTTTGCAAATTTTCCACGTTTTTCTTTCACTTGTGTCATGAACATATGTGAGTTTTATTTCTATCCTACTGTACTGTACAGTATATGGGAATAAAGAAAAGATATTACATTGCCTACAGAAATCATAAAAAAAAAAAATTATTTCATCACATGTGTTTATCCCTGACACAGGTGCGTCATTGATGTGGAGATATTACAGAAATGAATATCAAGTTAATTAAGTATAGTACTGTATAGTCAGTCCTCGACTTACGGCGGGGTTTGGGACCGATGACCAGGTCGTAAGCCGAAAATGAGAAAATAATACATAGAAAATCTAAAATGGGTATCTCATTTTCTTCTCAGCACCACGAGAACTCTCACTTTTACGCTTGCCAGCCATTTTAAAGGAAATTACAAACGAAAATTTTGTCGGTTCTCAGCGCAACCACTAATGTCAGGACCCGAAAATACGTAATTTGAAAAATATTTTATACGACTGCGGTGGTCGTAAGTCGAGGAGTACCTGTAGTATGGAAATTTTTGTATATTGATTACCTCACCAGTTTTTAAGTAGCTAATGATGAATGAACTTCCTTAATGTATTTTGTTGCTTTTGATGAACTCTATGAAAGGATCAGTGGATAGTGGGTACAAATTATAGTACGTACTGTATACAGTATGACATTTAATATATTTTTGACTAATTCATGTTGTAGTTTATATACATGGGAAGTTGAAGTGCAGAAATACTGTACTAGATATTTTTAGGTGTCAGAAATTATTTACCTGAGACAAAGTAATTTTTTAGGATATACAGTACATGTACTGTACGACTGTATATTTATACAGCAGAAGCATACGAGAATGTGAATAACAGTAAAGTATGGCATCGTATGATTTAAAGGGATCTTAAAACAGCAAGTGTGAATGAATGACAGCAAATGAAGTGTGTGTTTGTTCTTGGCCTGTGGCTCATGACAGTATAACAGGAGATGGCTAAGACTGAAAAAATCTTTAGATAGAAGTAATGTACTGTAAATGTCTAAGGAAGTGACAAAGTAGGCATAAATACATGTACTTGTACAGTGCTATGGTATATTCCTTGCCTACATAACATACCTTCTACCTATTAAACATAGGTAACAAGAGTACTGTCATATACTTACAGGTGTGTTAAAGCAGCTAGTGGCCAAGTGTGTACCCTTAGCGTCGGTGCGTGACATCTGTGCAGAGGGTGACCGATTATTGGAAGAGGAAACAAGCAAGGTATTCAAGAAGGAAAAAGATTTGAAGAAAGGCATTGCCTTCCCAGTCTGTGCGTCCGTCAACAACTGCATAAACCACTACTCTCCACTGGCCTCAGAGGGCGACACAATCCTACAAGATGGCGATTTAGTCAAAATTGATATGGGAGCACACATTGATGGGTTCATTGCAGTGGTTGGGCACACGGTAGTTGTTGGAGCATCTAAGGAGAACAAGGTGTGTAACTAAGGAAATGTTCCCTTTACTTTTGATGAATATTTCATAAAACTGTCAATTAAATATTCTCTTGCTTAACAGTTTGATGAATCTCTGCAGTGGATGGTTTTGTTGAAAGAGATTTTTATAAAGGTATTTTATTGATACCTGTACAGGCAGACCTATTTTAACTGACTAAGTATGTTTGTGAGAAGTGTTTAAGCAATTAATACATTAAAAGAGGTTCAAGGTAATTATAATAATGTCCTTATTGGTATATGTTCCTGACAGTGCAAATTTTTACCTTATTAATGCTTTGGGACAGCTGCCTTGGAGAATGTTAATGACACTGCAGATGCTATTATGGTTTTTATATGGATAAAACAAAACTGTTAATATAAATAACATGAAACTAAACTTAATCAACATTTACCAGTTAATTTTGTTGGAGCTAGCCAAGGTTTTGGTCCCTATGCTTCACTATTACAGTACCATACTGTATCACATAAATTTTAGCTACCATATTAATGACTTGTCTGGTCGCCTTGACTGCTTCCCAAACACTCACTTGCAGTCATGCTGGGTCTATAGTTTTCATTTAATACATACAGAAGATTGGGAAAAGAAGGATAGTACAAAAGTAGAAATGAAGCATATTTTGGCTGGCTGTACACATTGATTAGGTGAGTGCTGATTGACCACCCATTAGAGGTAGCCTTTGTAGGATCCCTCCATTGTTCTTGATAATTGTCTTGGGTATTTTTTCTAATTTTTTTTTATTTTTAATGGTACATGTTTTGTTTTTTATTTCATTTCTTTTGTATTAGCTATTATTATTGTAGTATTAACCCTTCCACACTTGTTGGCTTATGACCAGCACCCACCTCCTTTGCTTATTGAAGAAAAGAAAAAGATATACCGTACACTTAATGTTTTGATTCGTGAATAGATTTCTTAACTGTTTACAGAAATGTTTAACTCCCCTCAAAACAGTCTTCCCTAATGTTATTATGTAGCATAAGACAGAGCAGCAACTATACTCCTGAGTTTTTCTTTCTTCCATTGCACCAACACAATCGTATACATCGCTGTTTGTATTAGCACATAGCAAATTGTATATACAGTTCTGTAGTACAGTAATTCTATATTTTGGTTGAACCTTTATTATTGAAAGTATAAATATGAATATAGCCATACATTAACGATAAAAATACTGTATTACCAAAGACCATTTTTGTTTTATGAAGTTTAATGTCTTGTCTCAATACTGTACATTACACTTAATATCTTTACATTTTCAGAAAAGTTCGGAAGCTTTGGCATTGCTTTTATTTTTGACAGTTCCATTTCTACCAGTATTACTATATTATCAAGCAGACAATGAAATAGCTTTGGGTTAGTATAATTATTATACATGCAGAGAATTGGGTCAGTCATCATCACTAGTGATGTTAAAAATTTACGTCTGGGTGCCAGTTTCAACCCGGCACCCAGAGGTGTAAATTTTTTGCAGTTATTTACTAGTGATATCACAAAATACACGAGTCATTACTGTCCAATGAATTGGCATAATCTGGATTACCTTCCACAGATGCACTGGCAGCATGTTGTTGTACAGATCCCTCTGCCATCTTGGGGGTACTGTCCCACAATAAAGGAATATGTAACTGTCTGAATTCCAACACATACCAAAAATATTTTGATGAAACATCTTGTGCAGGAATTTTGAATGCAAGAAACACTACAGTATGGGTATGTGTACTGTGTACATTCAACTAGGCTCCATTTTAAGAGGTCTGCCTGTACATAAATTATTTGGAGTGGATTACAGTTTGATACAAGAAAATAAGATAGAAATGTTATTCCTTTCTAGATTAAAGGTCGTCGAGCAGATGTGATGCTTGCAGCACATAATGCTGCTGAGGCTGCCTTGCGCTTAGTCAGACCCGGCAACCAGAACTTTTCTGTTACTGACACTGTCACCAAGATAGCTGAGGTGTACAAATGTAAACCAGTGGAGGGGATGCTTTCCTTCCAGCTCCAACAGGGACGTATTGATGGAGAGAAAACCATTATCCAGAATCCCACAGAAGCTCAACGGAAGGAGGTTGATAAGCAAGACTTTGAGACACATGAGGTTTATGGTGTTGATGTCATAGTTTCTACTGGAGAAGGCCAGGTGAGGTATAATATATGTTAGCAGTCTCACATGTAGAAATTGAAGTGTGCAGTTGATTTCAGTTGATGATAGCACCTTTATAACTCCAGTGTGTGGATATCTGACCCCTGATGAGTATATAGTGCAAGGGCCATCTGATGTTACAACTGTACACTAATTATATACAGTATATATAAAACCCAGGAATCTTTTAGTGGCCTCATAATGACCAGATTGTGACTGCCTGTACAGTCACTCAAAAAACTGACTAAGACAACAGGGGGTCGCAGTGCTCATTCTGAAATTCATCGACAACCCCAAGTAAAGATAGTTTTTGAGTGACTGCAATATTTAGCAAGTTAGAGTTAAAATGGGATATAAGAAATTGTCCTTTGTTTAATGTATAAAATATGTATGAGGTTTGGTAATGTAACATTTGGGGATTGTGGGATACAGAAGGATAGTGGTTATGTTGGTACCACTTAACACAAATCCAGGTACAGTATTCTGACTAATATACAGTATAAAGGTATAAAGAAATTCATGTATTTCAACCAATAAATGCAAGTGTTCCTTTCAAATCTGTGAAGGAATGGTGTATTTTAGGTTACAAACAATGAGAAAGGAAGCACAGGATGAAATGTAGTACACAGCCATCCTGTAAAAAGAGTTAAAACTTGCCAGCTTATAATGGAATACTGTACTGGAGAGGATGCAAGGTGGAGTAGGAAGGGGGTAAAGATGGTGAGAGATCTAAAGAGAATGTTGTTGTTGCAAAGTATTTCTTTAACTGGGCAAGTTATATGAAGAAAGGTGTATTGGGTTGTAAATTTATACAAATGTCATTTCAGGGCAAGGAAGCAGAAGCACGTGTAACAGTCTTTAGGAAAACAGAGGAAAGCTATAGTCTGAAGCTTAAGGCCTCTCGAGAATTCTTTAGTAAGGTAAAGTGTTTTTAGAAATTATATATTTTTTTCTTATCTTTTACCTGTTAATAATTATTTATACTTCCACTACTCTCCCTTACTGTTTTTTGTCTTGGAGGTTTCTGTACCTCTTAATCCACTCCTCATACAGCAGAGGGGGAGTATACCTCCTGTAAATAACCAGTAAATATTCAAAATAGTCCAACTAGAGTTGCTGAATTTACCCATAACCTTGCTCACACCTTCATAATCATTACAGTATGAGGATACCAAATTTGTTTAATACCACTTCTTAAGGATCAGTTGAAATGGAGAGGCACCCTAGATTAGGGTTGCCGTATCTGAACATTCAAAAAAGAGGACGCTCCCGAAGACATCCCCCACCCGGCACAAACAGGCTAATATACAACATACATGGTATAGAAATCTAAAAAAAAAAAAAATACATTTGCTTAAGGCTGAACATCTTCATTCCCTTAGCTGCAGTCTTCTTCCCCCACTGTGTGTGTGACTTTATGTGCCCATGCATACTTTTCTGTAGATCGGATCTTTTTCAGTATTGGATGATTGCTCTTTAGAAAGGTATAGAAGTCACTGCAAGGTGTTTCTCGGAAGTTGTACTGTACAGTCAGAATGCCTTTCATTGTTTCAACACTCAATTTGTTTCTTTCCTTTGTCCATTGACTTTGCATCAGTGAAAAAGCTCTTTCTACATTTGCATTGAGATGATATAGCAAAGAAGAATTGTGCAATTCTTAGCAATTCTGAGTGGCATTCAATGTTCTTTGATTTTTCAAAGTATCTGGTCCACTTTTTATGTGTTGGTAGATTACTAAATTCGTCATCACTTGTAATTTTCCAAAAACTGCTTCAGGTTACTAACTTGGTCAAAACACTTCGTCAACTTCTACCCCCTTATCAATCAAATATTTGACAGCTAAGTTGACAACACCGTACAGACGTACAAGTGACTTATCAGCTGACGAAAACTGAAAGAGATCTCTACGGTTTCCACCTTCCCTCTCTTTCTCTCCCGTCATTACAGTTTCATGTTTTTTTTTTTCCCGTGGAGAAAATGATGGAAGCTGAAATTCCGGACTTTTGAAGAATTTTAAAAATTCCTTCCGGATGAAGATTTCGAGACCTAAATGGAGGACATGTCCGGGAAAATACGGACGTATGGCAACCCTACCCTAGATGTCTTCTCAAATGCCTCTGAGGTGGAAGGCTGCCCTGGCCAGGCTTTGCATTGTACACTGTAGGCTGATACATGGTCATTTAACTGTCTGGTCCCCGTGACCATAAAATTCTTGTTGGTTGTGTTCCAGTTGTGTGTTGGTAAGGGGGGCAGTATCTGTCCAGAATTTTGGGATGGAATGGTAACTACAGGAGCAAAAGTGTCATTTCCAGAGGATGGAGTTTTTAAGTTTATTGAGGAGGCTGTATTTGAGGAACCTCCTCCAGAATGTGTGTTTATTATCATATCAGTATATGGATTTAAGTATTTTATCTTGAATTTTTTATACTGTACCACATTACAGCACACCCAGTATATTTTTTATAAAAATATAAAAACTAGATTTTTCTTATTAATGAGGTACACACACGTGCCATAGTTTCGATGCACCCTCTATCCATACTCCTGGCTCGAGGGAAGTCATAGTCAGGGCTGCAAAGCGAACGGTCCCTCTTGTATAGTGATGTTAAGTATAGTAATGGTAAATAAAGTGTTGTGGGTCACTAAAATCCTGTATTGTTCATATATTCTCTCAAATATTACACCATGAACTGCAATTCGTACAATCCAGCGAAGCTTTGAGCTACCTCATTGCACCACTGAACGATGGGAGGGGGGGGGAGACGTTCAGTATGAAGCCAATGCTACGACTTCCATCGAGTCAGGGGTAGAGGGTGCATCGAAACTATGGCGCGTGAGTGTACAGTATAGTATTTATTTGTGCAATATTATCTCCTGTCCAGATCTCCCTCACTAAGAAGTCCAATTGTTCTTTAAAAGAAAAATTATATGAACCTACTTTGCTCTGAGTATCTACAGTGAGGAGGGAAACAGGCATTTACCTGTGTATACTGTGGAGATATGTTGCCCTGCTACTTGCGGAGTTGATAAACTTTGATACTGTGACATGTAAAATATTGCCCATTACTTCATGTGAGGTCCTTGAAAAGCAAGCACATAATTCACTTCAAACAGGCCTTGTGAAATATTATCAATTGAAACCTTTATTTGTTACGGTGTGTGTAACATCATCAGGAACACTTGAATAACTGTCTGTCATATAAGAGTTTAACCTTGAGGAGATAGATAAAACTGGCTCATCCAGTCTAGAACACCTCTGAGAAGGGAACTCAGCTTGCATCAAACCCAATAGGCTAGACTTAGTGCAACTATAGGAGGCATTGAAATAATGTCAACACCAAGGATGTGGAGTGCAGCGGTCGAGTGGATACAGCACTCGCCTCCTATTTCATGGGATGGTGGTTCAATCCTCGGGCACCCCTAGTTCACCCAGCATGGTTAGGTTAGCAGGGTCATAGAGGGCTACATATAGGGGAACAGGGGTAGAATCTTGAAGACATTGTTCTTCTTCAGCATTTATTTGTGCAAAATGTGTGGATAATATACTGTATTGTCAATTGCAGCAAAAATATTTGTAAGGTACATTTAGTTTGAGTTACATGCTGTACTTGAATTTTGGGTATTTGACTGTCTTAGCATTAATATAATTATTCATCTTATTATATACAGCACTGTAACAAGCACATAATACTGTACATTAATACTATATTTGTTACACATATTCTCTTAAGCACACAGCCCTTACCTTTTACATGTTTTCCAATTGGATTATTAATTTCACATTACACTTTTTCACTCCACAATACTTTTCAGGAGCTTATATGTTGTGTTAACTGAGTAATGCCAGTATTTGATTTAACAAGCTATTCACCAGATTTCATTGTTTAATTTTAGGTCCAGAAGAATCATGGAACAATGCCCTTCAACATCAGATCTTTTGACGATGAGAAGAAAGCACGATTGGGAGTTACTGAGTGTGTCTCTCACAAGCTAGTAGACCCGTACCCTGTCCTCTGGGAAAAGGTAAGATTATTATCACAAGATGTTCAGGTAACGGTTGAGGGTAACACTGAAAATTATTTTGCAAGTGGATCTTCATGTAAAATTGTAAATGGTAGTCAGGGGACCCAAATTCTTCCCAGATCAGTGAATTCTGCTTTGACTACCTCTTCTTTCTTTCAACTAGCTGTGTTAATCTGCTCTTATCCTTAACCACCAAAGCAATGTTGTATACCGTAAATAGAAAACTGCAATATGATGGCATGAGATGAAGCATAGTGATGAAAGCCGATTTGAAGTCACATGAATCACATCACCTACCGGTAACGGTAACTTTACCTATCGCAGGTCTGGCCCCAAGGAACTCTTCCTCCCCTCTGAATCAGCCAGAAATGGTTGTGATGTCAGGTCCTGTAGATCCTTTAATAGGCTCCATCTATCAGAACAATTTCACTCCCAGCTTTTATTTTCATGGAGATTAAAGGAAGTACCAGGTATAGTACACCCTTCTGATGTGATTCTTGGTGCAAGGGGATGTACCAGGTAAAGTCCCTCTGACTGAATGGGTTAAGAAAGGTATAGGCAACAACTCAATAATGTGCAGTGAGTGCAGAAGGTGGATACACAAGGGGTGCAGTGCAGCAGATGGTTGGCTGCAAGTGTGCTGTATATGCTGATAATCATGTGGTCTTTCAAGTTTGGAGAAACTCAACATTGGTGTTATATCCCTGCACTGTGTTGAGGAGTTGTGACATCAGTGTTGGACTGCTGGAGGTGTTGCTAAAACTAGCTCAGTTACAACAGCTGGAAGCGGCTGGAGGAAGTTTAAGGAGTTGCTGCGTCTATTTATGTCAAGAGGACCTTTCCTCCACATGAAAGTAGGATGTATGCAGTTAGCATGAGAATTGTGATGATGTATGGCAGTTAAACAGGATGACGTGCAGGCATGAACGAGTTGAAATGAAAATGAGGTGGATGTGCATTGTGACACTGAAAGATAAGAAACCCTGTTAAGAGCTAAAAGGGTGGTTATGTATGAGTGTATTGGTGAAGCTATATGTAGAGGTAGGCTGGGGTGGTTTGCATATGTAGAGAGAAGGGAGGAGACCAGTTGGGTCAAGAGGTGCATGAGATTAAATGTGTAGGGGAGGAGAGCCAGGGGTAGGCCAAGAAAGATAAGGAGAGAGGTTGTAAGAAATGACATTTGAGTTAAGAACCTGACAAAAGAGGCTGTAAGAGACCTTGCAACTAGGAAAGTTGTCATCAGGTAATTGTGGCTAACCCACACGAATGTGAAAATGGCGGCCATAAAATGTTGTTGATGACTACTGAGGTAATGCAAGTTAATTTTATGAATTTTGAGGTAGTGAAATTTATATATGATTTTCATCTTGCAGGCTGGTGAATTTGTTGCTCAGTTCAAGTTTACTGTGCTGTTAATGCCAAGTGGACAACACAAGATCACTGGTCTACCGCTAGAGACACAACTGGTGGAATCAGAACACAAGATAGATGATCCAGAACTGAAGGTAATTTTTTTTTATGGTGTCTCAAAGAGAACAAGAATTGGTATTTGCAGTACTGTGGTTAACAAGAGATGTAAGGATATGTCAGGGGGTTCAGTGTTGGCACTACATACAGTACTGTACAGTAATATCTCCATTAGCTGGAATCTTTGATCCCCGAAACTATCTGTTACTCGGAAAATAAAATTTCAACATTTTGAGAAAATTCCGAGAGAAATCTCTCCATTCCCGGCATTCGAATGAATTTCTGAGCGATTGCATGATGCGCCTACACGTGCTGAGTGTATAGGTGAGTAGGGTAGGCTCGGAGTGCTTGTGTGCCACAATTGGCTACTTCAACGGGTCTTCATCAGGGATGTGTTCCAGAGAAATATTTTACAATGAGGAATTTTCCCCTATAAGAATTAATGTAATTAGGTGCAGATGCCCTCCAACATGTACAGTAATACCCTTTGAAAGCTCAGGATGTGTTCCTGGAGATCTCTTTCGGCAAATCAACTTACAATCGGGTCATTATAACATACTGTATAGTGCAGTGATATCTCTGTTTGCCAGAACAATTGGTGCAGAGCACTTCAGGAATGAGAGATTTTCGGGTAACGAGATGACTCAAAGCCGGAAAAATCCCTTGTCCCGGAATTTTCTGGGTAACGGAAAAATATTCCCGGAAGTTCTAGAAATTGTTCATTACATCATCTCTCGAACCGTCCCCGGAATTTTCTGGGAACGCATTGGGAATTTTTTTTTCCGTGAAATATGCCCCTCGGAAAATTGTTCCCGAAGCCGAAATCAATGTTGTCCTTTTATTGTGAGCCACTTTCCGTTACTGATAAACTCATTAGCAGATGCTTCACTCTCTTATAAAAACATTGTACAACATTCAATTATTTTGTATGTATTCTCAATTTTTTTTTTTTGTTCTTACACCACTTCTCTGTTTGCTCATTTCTGTGTTTTTCCTAAATCAAAATGCTGCAAATTAATTCTTCACCTCCATTCTCCAGAAACTGTCACTTGTGTTTTTAGTGCAAACACTTAATCCACACTTCCCATTCTGACTGCACTCTGCTCCTGATACTTCTTGATAATTACTATATATGTGCTCTACCATTTCTTTGATACCTATCCCACTTTCATACATAACCTGTATTCCCATTCTGCTCATTTTATCACTGCTTCACTTTCCATTCTTATGATAACAATAATGAGCCTTTCAACTTTTTGTCCCTCACTGTTCTAGAGCTTTTCCTTCCTTATTATTTCCTGAACATTATATTTTTACCTTTCTCCTCTGATACAATTGACACTTAGTATTTAAAATATTTGCATTATAGCCCCTTTTTGTGTGTGTAATTTTGTTGTTTAGCTTTCCTGCTGAACAACAGCTTTTAAATAATCATGACCTATCCTATTCTTCCATGTTGCCTTTTGGTTTCTTTTTAATCTTGCATTATTCCTTCTTTTTTTCATCACTCCTTACTTGTAAACAGTGCTAATATGGTCTTCTCTTAGTGAACACTGCCATTCTTTCATCATGCTATCTTTACCTCCCCATTTGCCATACAGGCACACCTCAGCTGCTTTTTTAAGACTGCTGTTTTAAAGTGTCCATTCTTTAATTCCTCCCACTTCATTCCTATTTACTTGTGCCCACCTTGCAAAATTCATTTCTTTAAATCTTTCAGATAAATTTGCTTTCTTAACACTGGACTACTGGCTGTCAGCCACCTATCTGCTGGGCCACCACAGACAGCGAGGGTCTGAGCGTGCTCAGTGACCTGTTAAGAATTTTTATAGGTTTAGCCATAGAATATGTTCTAATTGAAATAAGATACTGTACAAGATAATGATTGAAACCCACAGAAAAAGGTGTAATAATATATAGAGAAATTTTGTACTCCCCATGTCCACTCTTGAGTCTCAACAGGTAACAAGCAAGAGAGTTGCAAAATGCATAAAGGTAAATTTTTGCTGGTTTTTATTTTTGCATTTCATTTAAAAAATGGCCCAAGTGGTAGAGTGATTTTTTATGTGAAATAAATAAGTAGTAGTCCAAATTGTTAGGCTTATGAACTTTATTGGCCTCTCCTCACTATATCAGTCTCTCACCTTGAACCTTCACTTCCTTACAACAAAGTGTTGCATACAAATTTTCTGAGCAATGTCTCGCATATTGAAACTTTTTAAGTTTCTCTACTGGTTATTCAGGTTTTCTCAGATTTTTTCTTCTTTGTACAGTCTCGTTCATCATTCTTCGAACACTGCTGGAGACAGCTGGTAACTCAGGCCGTTTGTTTATGACAGTACGTTGTATAATATAATACGAAACAACAAAACCCAACCATTAATTAAGCAACGGGGAACAACGTAACCAATCACCGATAACCTTTTACATTCATAATTTTTACTACGTACTATAGTAAACAAATGGCCTTGCGTTGCCAGCTGTTTCCAGCAGTGTTCAAAGAATCTTGAACGAGACTGTACATATAGCTGGTACAGTAACTGGTGTATTTTGTAAGATGTGGAAACTATGGAATGCTTATCTACCATCCTTAGTCTGGCTTCTATTGCTAGGTTCCTTCAGGTCATTTTAGGTGTTTTAATACGATGTAAACAAACACAAAGTTGCTACATCTCACAAAAAGTGCCAGTCACTTAACCAGGTGTAAGTACTGGCAACTGTACCTCCAATAACCCACTTTTTCACTTCCATATTTCATTACTCATCACTGCCACTCCTCCTTTCTCTCTTATACATGTTCTCGTTTCCACTTAAGGTTTGTTTTCCACAAAACCAGAACATCTGGTTTACTACCATTCGAGACCTTTTTATTATCGATTAATTTCACTTATACTGTGTGCATCCAAGCAGATAACATGCTCCCATATCTATGACAGTACAGGTTGACAACCCTTTATCCGAAATTCCGAAAACCGAAAAGCTCTGAAAACCGAAAGTTTTTGGGGGGGCAAAATTTTTTTATTTATATATATATATATATATATATATATATATATATATATATATATATATATATATATATATATATATATATATATATATATATATATATATATATTATATATATATATATATATATATATATATATATATATATATATATATATATATATATATATATATATATATATATATATATATATATATATATATATATATATATATATATATATATATATATATATATATATATTATAATAATTATTCATAGGAAATAAAAATTTTAATAAAAATACACCAAAATAAAATAATAATAATAGATTTAATAATAATAACAATAATACTGTAATAATATAATAATAATATTAAAGAAATACAGGAATGAAAAAAGATCAAAAGTGAGAAACACGACCTAGACCTATGAATTATTATTATTATTATTATTATTATTATTATTATACTTTTTTATTATATTTTCGCCCCCCAGGCCCTAATGTGGGTCAGTGATCTATGTCCGGGTGGGCTAATACACATTAAAAAAAAAAACCCTAACCATTCTGAAAACCGAAAAATTCCGAAATGCCTCTGGCCCCAAGGATTTCGGATAAGGGATTGTCAACCTGTACCCCTTTTTATTCATCAAAGTTTACAATGTTTGAACTGTTTCTCTTTGACAGCAAATAATCACAGCATCAATTAGCAACAAGAATGCTAAGAAGAAGAAGAAGAAGGCAGAGAAGGAAGCGGCGACAGTTGTAAAGAACGAAGATTAACAGTACTCAGGTGTAAAAATGTTGTGTAAAACCCCAGTAAACACCCATTGATCCAGGAGGAACCAGAGCCTGTGTTCATAGGAGAACTCCCTTAAATGTCAGTACATTTACTAATTATTATCATTATTTTTTATTTTATTTTATTTTACTCTCTCTCTCTCTCTCTCTCTCTCCTCTTTGTCTTTCTGTAATATCTTCAATTCTCAACCTGTAGGTTACTCAGTCTAGGTACAATAATGCTCCTAAAAGTAGGAGCCAGGAAAATAATTTCTTTTATATTGTCATCACAATGTCTTGGTTGATTGTAGCTGTGGTGAGCTCTCTAGTTTAGTTATTGTACTTAGTTTTGTGTGGACTCTTTATACTGTGTTTGGCTTTTATATTGTGTTTTTTATGTAAAAAATTTTATTTTTGCTAGCACAGAAAAATGGTAGACATAGCAAGGGATCTGGGCAGTGTTTGTCACAGGGGATGATGTAAAGTTCAATGTAATATAAGATGGGTATAGCATTCCAGCCGCAATTTTAGTGACCCCATATCTTTGGCATTTTCACTGCTTTCAAACTGTACCCCTGGACTTGATATTTTAAATACCAGTTTGTAATGTCTAGGCAAGAAGTAACATCTGTGTTGTTGCTCATAGGTTAGGGTTGTTTCCTACTGGCACAAAGTGGTAACAGCAAGTTAAGCATTTCATTTTCTAAATTTTGTGTTTTGGGGTAAAGCAACTTTATTAATGCTAGCACCTGCAGACAGATAAACTTGCCAATTGGGATGTGCATGATAAGTTGCATTATGTTGACAACCAATCATGTGCACTTGTAACTGGTCCCTCTCCAGTGTCTGCCTCAGAGGTTATTTTGTATATCCTGTACAAATCTGTAGGTAAGGTACATCAGCCACTGCAGCAGTAACCAAGATTGATATGCAACAAAAATTTTGCCATGTCATGTGGCTGCATTTTATCTTTTATGGAATATTGTTTCATATAAATTTTAAGTTTTGGTTGGAAAACAAGGTGTTGTAGTGGAGTGTAGAACATCTTGAATTTCATGTTGAATTTTGAAGGTTGTGGTGAGCTCGGGCTTTTATTATGTGGCTAAGCAGATGATCCTTTTATCCACAGCTCCCCTATTTTTATTTTTTTTCGGGGGATGACTAAACTTCCGTATATCAACATTGTTTTGTACCTCTGGTACATTTTCAAAGTATATGCATTATGATGTCATGAAGTTTAAGGTTGAACCAATAATTTGATATATTCTAAAGAAAAAATATTTAAGCTTGTGAATGGGTCAACAATGCAGTAGGTGCAGTCTGATTCTTGTTCATTTTATTTGGGCATGAATGGGCATAAAATGTATTCTCAACTTAAAAAGAATATCTTAATCACATGTGCCCATTAAAGTTTGTGGTATTCTACTCCAAGCTGACTTCAGAGCCTTGCTGAATATTAACGTCCAACTTGCTGTGTTTCATAGCAACTTGATATCCCTTGCCATGCTATTTTCCCTGACATGAGTGACGATATGTGTGTGTGAGTGGCTTTTGGAATCCAGTTTTTAACTTTCCCAAAAAATGTGGAGAGCTGCAGTAAAAGCCTTATTAAATGCTTAGAGGCTTATTGATATGCAAATTCTCAGCTGGATACAAGTTGGGTTTGTTTTCTGGGGTTGCAATCAGTTTATAAGCCTGGTGATAGCACAGGACATCAGCTTGTCACAAATACACTTTACTCCTTTTAAGATGGGAGAGATTGTGAAAGCATTGTTCTGGGATTAGTGATTCACTTGAAATAAGTTGATTAATGAAATTAGGTATGCAGCACAATCTTCCCATTGACATATAAATATATATATATATTTTTTTTTACATGAACACGTGCACACAAACATGCAGATTACATATGTAATGTTGAAGGTTATAGCATCTCAACACCCACCCACCCTCTCCCTGTCCACTAACTATAGATGGGTAATGACAGAAAACTGGGTTATGAAAATGTGTAGGGTTGAACGAGGTTTATATTAAATTTGCAACTTATTACTGGATCATGATACTGTACATAAAATGTTGATGCGGCTCACATATTACTTTAAAATTTCTTGCATAGTAAGTCATTTGTATTGTTCTTACTGTACACTATCATTACTATGGTTTTGTTGTCATATAGCCCATTGTGTGTTTATAGTGCTGTCCGGCTTAGCAATATCCATTACTGAAGGTTGGTTGGGGTGATAACAAAACAGCATATTTAGTGATGCCGGACGTTTTGTACGCAGGTTTTCAGATCCAAAAATAAAAACCTTGTTCACACATGGGATTTTTCTTTAACCTCTTGAAATAATTCTTTTTGCTGATTGCTTTATATTTAATGAAAAATTAATTTTGAGTATCAAGTGTTTTGGGTTATTATCGGTGAGTGGAGGAATTGATAATTTATAATAAAAGAACTTGAAAGATTGACCTCATTGACTAGTTTGTCTGAATCATCAGTGTCAGTGTAAGTTGATGAGATTTTCATACAAGATGAATGTTTCCAGGTTTGTGTATGTACACTATCCCCAAAAAGTATCGGCTCCCCTGGGCCTGATGTAGTTGGAAATGAACACAATAACATGTGCACAGCAGTCTTGCTTTGGTTGGTGTTTCTGTTTGTGAGTTGCACCTTTCGTTCTTTCTTCTTGCACGATAATCACCATAATACCTGCAGCATACCACCTATTCTCTTCATAATGTAATGAAATAGGATGAATTGTGATACCATATAGATTTTTTTTTTTTTAGATTGCCCCCGAGGGGGCTAGTTTATTGGGCACCCCCTTACATCCTGTGCAAGGTGAAGTGCAGAAGCATTTACAGTGCCCATCTGGGAAACATGCTAAGTTCATGCTTGCCTTTATGACTCGTTCATTAAGGGCGTAAAAGCCTGAAGGGTTATAGGTTTTGTCAGCAAGTTACAAAAAGTGACAGAATGATGAGTGTGTGGGGGGGAAAGTTCCTGGTACATTTCATGCTTATGGCAAAGCGTGGCAGGTCCCTAATAATGTCAAGTGCCAGGCCTGTCACTAGGAGGAGGGATATCTGGTCAGGGAGGGAAGAGGTGTTAACGAAATATGAAACACTATGATCCGATATTATATTCATTTGCAAATATAGTAATTACAGGTGTTTTCTGATGCTATATCCAATTACAATGACATTATGATTTACTACATTTTGATATTATTTCTACCTCAATTGATGACGTAACAATTATGAATATAACGTATCATCTCGTGATTCGTGCTGGCAACGGAACATTATCTGATACACACTATGACACAATGTTTGTCGGTGCAAGCTGTGTTTTCCAATGAGCCTCAGGTACTGGTGTTGGTCGTGGATTTCCAGCAGAAAACACCCACTATTTGACTGCCGTTGATATATGTTCAATACATTATTATCATTATATTATTCTACTAAAGATGGAACACAGTGAGTCATCATAATTACAACAAATGCCAGAAATAATAACTGGCAACCTCACAGATACCTGTACTAGGAAAGCTGGCCTACCAACATAATGCAGGAATTACAATTAGTGATCGGAAATATTCATCCATTATGACACATTGTATCGATAAGCAAAGAGGCCGATACCGTTTTTGGAGAGCGTATATAGATGATCACGTATGGTTCATGGCATTCGGGGTTCTAGTGCTTCATTAGTCACCTTGAGTGTGAACAACTGCAGTTCAGATTGCAGTTGTTTAGACTTGAGCTTAGTTATAATTTATTAAGAAAAGTGTTTTGAAGTAATGGTATTAGTGTTAAAGATAGACAAAGTAGTGTCGGAATTTTTTTTGGTGTATGCTTTGGGAATGCATTCCCATACCTTGCTCGTACAAGCTCTACCCCTCCAACATGCATCTCTCACTTTTTCATGGTATTCAGTGTTTATTTTGATTAGTTTAGCACAAATTCACACCCCATGAGACTAGGAATGTATCTTGAGTGTAGTTTAGATAGAATGAAAAAGTGGGTTTGGGAAATGGAGGTAGTGTGAGACATTGAAATTTGGTTGAAAGTAATACAGTAAAGTATGTCGGCCAAAAAATTGGGGATCAATAGGCTTCTGTAAAATATTTAATTACTTAAAGTGGAAAGTCTTGTACTATCTTGAACATGTGTCTAAGGAAAGCATGTAAATAGACCATAATACTTGTATCATTTTGGTTATATTATTAGTGTCTGCAAACTCCTACTGTATATAAAAATGCTTTTCTGTGTCATCATTCTCCTATAATCACGTGACATTAAACTTTTCAAACTCATGTGAAGACATGTAGACTTGTCACTAACATTATCACGCAGTCACTGAAGCTAGTTGCCTTTATGCCCAATTTCTCTAGATTTAACTTAGACAGAATTTATTGGCCCAAATGGCCAGTTTTTCAGTTGGTGGTGAAGTACAAAGTCCAATAAATGACATTTTGCAATCGGAATTGACAGATATAAACATGAACTGACAAATATAACAAAAAATGACAAAGGAAATATACAGGGTATACTTTGAATTCTAGCATGGCTTGAAGCTTTTCAATATCTTTTAAATGCCATTCAAGAGAACTACCTAACACAAACTGCAACATCCTTGTGTTTGGATTTATTGGGACATTGAAGGGCGTCTTTTTTGTGAGTGGCAGAAAATGTATTTTCTCCCGTCAATGTCTTCAATGGATGTAGATGGCACAGGATCAGAGGGATCAAAACAAGTTTCATACATTTAGATGACATGCAAGCTACAGTACTCCAACCACCACCAGCACCATACAACAGCTAAGTTTTAATGTGCACCACCAGCATCCATCTAAACTTGATAATACATGCACCTGAAAATGGTAATGATTTATAATTATTGTATACAGTAGTGTAATAATAATATATAATGTAATGTAAAATAAATAATGTAAAATTTTATCATAATTATTATTACAGTAGAGTAAAGCCTTGAATAACAACGTTATGTGTCCTCCAATATTGCAGTGTAAGGTGAATCGTCTTATCGCAAATCATTAATTACCATTTAAATAAAGCAATAATAATGAGATGCGTTCCCAAGTGTGACCTTTTCGTATCTTTTGTGTGGCTTTTTACCCTCTTTTTTTCCCCCAAAATTGATACAATTAATGAAAATTGCAAACTATATTCTGAAATAATGTTTCTGATTGCAACGTATACAATATAAATGAATAATAATATGGTCACACGAGGAGATGGGACGCCATTGTTTGCGTTTACTGCTGGGAGTCCTGGACGATAGTTCTACACGAGAAAATTAAGAAAATAAGACACTGGTTGTAGCTGTAGTAAATTTAATGTAAAAAAATTAATATATATGTTTTAAGTAGCGTTATTTAATGTTAATAAATGGAACAATCGAAGTAGCTTACCCCTAATGGCAAAGAAAAAAAAGAGATGGATTGGGAACACCAACATATACGTTCGCAATTAAGGATACCGCATCATTTTTCTTAAGAATATGTACAAAAGATTCATTATTGTTTATTACTAAATATGTATTTGATTGAATTAATCTTTATATATGTGAAATGAACAATGCAATTCATTAATAATACATAGAATATTAAAACACACAAGAGGAGATAAGACGTCATTGTTTTCGTGAGTGACAATGGTTCTACATAAGAGACTGAAGAAAATAAGACCCTGGTTGTAGCTGTAGTGAACTTAATGTAAAAAAAATTTAATACCTGTATGTTTGTTTTAAGTATGTTATTTAATGGTAATAAATGGAACAATAGAAGTAGCTAACCACTAATGGTAAAGAAATAAGACAAGATGATTGGGAATGCCAACGTATGAACAGTAAGTGCGTACGTGTGAAAACATATCGTCATTTCTCTTCATATGAATATGAAAGCAACACTTATTTATTGTTCATATATGTTTTAAATAATATTTACAAATGTAAAACAAATTCTGTTCACCAATGGTGGTAAAGTCTAAAACATAAGGACAACCAATGAATATTGTGCGAGTTTTTACTCAGATGATGAAGTCATCAGGCTCAACTCTGGCTGAAGCTGTAGCTTTCCATAAAGCTGTTGCTGAAACTGTTACTGAACCTGAAGTTGTTGAAGCTGCTTATGATGCTGAATTTGATGGTTTAGGCCTTCGTATAATAAAGCTGTCGAAAGAACCTTGCCCATGCTGCTTTCTTTTCTCATACATCTTTAAGTAGAGGTCATTTGCATTTATTTAGATTTTAATGCTTTGTTCTGTTGATGGATCCACTTCAGAAAATATGTTCACTGCTTGCTCCATATAATATCCACAGACCTCTCACCTTTTTCATATCGTTTTAACACATCTAGTTTCTCGGCTAAGCTTAGACACTTTCTATTAGCTTTTGAAACAACACTACCATCAGTTGCTCTCTTGCTCATGTTGAATAGGGATGCAAAAATGCTGTAAGAAACCTGAGAAAGTTTTTCTCCAGTTCCTGTTCCAGATGCGTGAAAACAAAAGGCCCGCCAAGCTCCGACTGTTGTTTACCACTCTTTAGCAAGGCAGCTTCTTTGCGCAAGGTGCTCTTCATTTTTTTTACAGTAATTTTTTTTTTTTATTAATACATAATGGGATTTACTTATTATTTATATGAAAATGTAATTTTATTTTATTTTTATTATATTTTGGCTGTAATTACAAATGAAATAAGGACGTAAATTGAATTGGGTCCTAAATTAACTAGGGTTTTAAATATGAAAAGTTGTTATCGGAGGCTTTGCTGTATAAAAAAAATTACAAGGCTTAGGCTTTTTTACTTTTTAAATTTTATACAAAGGAGTTTTCATAGACCATACTTCAATATCTAGCATTATAATTATAATTGAAGCAATATATATGAAATTTCATCCAATATCAAACCCTTCTTGGTCATATCTTTATTTGGGTGGCCATTTTGGAAAATGGTTGCCTTTCCTAAACTAGGCCATCTTCAAAGTGGTTCCATATCAGAAAATGGGTAATATAATCCTCTACAACTCTTGAAAGTTTCATCCTTTTATGACATCCTGAAGTTTTTCATCCATAACTGCCTGTATTATACTGGAGGTGAAATTGCCTGGTGACAAGTTGATCAGTAACAAATTGTCCATGACGAAATGAACAGTGATGAAATATCTGTTTAAGTTCTGAGACGTGATGATTTGGAGATAGGTTTTAAGATGCCACAGAGTTGAAAAGGCTCTTTCCGCAGTTGCTGTTGTGACAGCAACATGTTGAGCTGAATGTGTAGCATCTTGAGATCC